ATTTCATAAAAGGTTTAGTAAATATTTTATGTTATATAAATTGATTTTGGTTTAGAGGTTAAGTGTTTACTTGAGAGACCGAACATTCTGGTTTCGATCCCTAGTGGTAGGGTCGTATTGAAGAGTCCTATACTTGAAAAACAAACAAACAACCATCTACTGCCTTCTGGTTTACAATGGTTTTTTGACTATGATTATTCCATAATGTTAACCATACAGTTTATCACATAGTTTCAATAATCTTTAGTTTTTCATTGAATTGTCTCATTTCATCACAGCGATTAACAGTTTTAAATTTTATATGTTATGTGAAAACTAATTTTTATGAATTATGATATAAATTAGAATACGGCTATTATATATGTTTATATATAGTTACTGAAAAACTCACGGTACTACTAAATAGAATACTATTAACAATAATCAGGACTCTATTACTACATAAATTGCTTAGTTCCTACAACTTTTATGTAAATAAAACTAATCGTGTTTTTCATAATTGTGCATTTGTGTTTACTTGTAATGGTTCTGTTGTACTAATGAAAAAAAAGGTCATAAAATGGTTTCATTATATTCTTGTGTATGTGTGAATGTTGTTATATTCAATAATATTTAAACAATTATTTATTTCATTTTACTCTCATTATGTTCTATGTATAACGTTCAAATTGATTGACCGTGATTATGCCCGCTTTTTTTTATTCAAAAACAAAAACAACATAAAATAAACAAACAGACAAATTGGAGTTATTGACATTCAGAATTGCAATTGATCAATCTCTGTTGTTATATGTATATCCTGAGATGATTGAGTTGATAAAGAATTGGTAAAGAGTTTGCAATTTTACTCACTGAACAATAAGCATCAATTTGTAATGCATGATGGTAGTGTTAAATTGTAAATCAGTTGTAATTGTGAACCAAGGCATGAGAACTTACTGATATAAAGGTGATGCGCTCATTGAAAATTTTGAATCAAAACGTCGTGTTTATGCTTTGCTGATGAGTCTCATACTAAAATGAAATAGTTTTTCAGAACTTCTTGGTTTTTAGGGATTGTCTGATTAGAACTAGTCTGTAATTTAAAAACATCTTCAATTTAAATGATCTCCACATACATACAATTCTGACTACATTGATTCTGTTAGATGGATTTGGTGTAGTAGTACTCCTTTTTTTTCTCAAATGAAACATCTCCAACTCTAACACTAAATAATTTGCGTTGTTTTACTGTCAGGTATGTGTTTGAGTAAATTCCTTCATCATTGTATATGAATACGCTTAGATATACCGTGGGTCAGCAGCCAAATAATAGACATTTGCTTAATTACCGGTAACATAGTATTTCAAAATTGATGGATTATAATTAACAATAGAATCTAGAAAGTGTATTTCACTCAATTTGTGATTTGTCAGCTAAGCACACATCTGTATCACAACTTATTCTGAAACTATGAACCAGTACCTTTCACTTTAAACGTCTAACGCATTATTCACCAAGTTACTGAATTTCATGTAGTCACTAACTTGTTGAACGAGTCTGATGCTTATATTATTATTCATGATATTAAGAGTATGAATTATGTTGTTGATATTCTATACTGAATTCGAGTAATTCGTTCTTAGTAATTCTTATTACTTGAATCTTTGCTTTTCATAATAACAATAACTTTTTTCTTTTTTTAATAGAATTTATTTAAGAAATCAATGTAGAAACTAATTTTATTTAACAGACAATTACTAGTCTAACGATAATCCGAAGGGGTTTTGTGGAGATTGTAGTAGTTTCAATAGTTGAGATCATAAGTCATTTGAAGCTAGACCACTATGGAAAACCTGGAAGCACTGGACGGCCATTTCAACCCATTGTGGAATTCCTCAGCAGTACGCATTCGCGACCTCGCCTCACGGAATTCGAGCTCAGGACCTATTGGTCTAGCGCGCGATCGCTTAACCACTAGACCAGTGAGCCGGAATCCAGAGGTGTTAATGTCTAACTTCAACTAATCCACAAAATTGAGCGACACATGCACCATTGTCATCAGTGAGTGAATGTGGCTGTGCACTGTTGAGGAGTCCCATAATAGGATGAAACGGCCGTCCAGTGCTTCCAGGTTTTCCATGATGGTCTAGCTTTAATTAACTTATGATCTCAACTATTGAAACTAATCATAATCATCATAAACGTTCTCAATTTAATTTTTTTTAAAATATAATTTATTGACTGATTTCTAAATGTGAAATGGAAAATTACATAAAGTACATTGCTGTTTCGTAATTTATGAAATGAATTTTGATTATTTTAAGTGTACTTTATTTGGGTGGAAGATTGTGATGAAGGTCATTTTCATCACGTTCACAATGACTAGTTAATATGATCGTGTTTTTTTTGTGAAAGAAAAAACAAACTCAAATGATTTTGTGTTGTGTAATACAACGGGATTCGTATGTTGTCATTATGTGTATGCGTGCCCTCATCACTACAACTTTGGTTGGTTCCATAGTTTATGGTTTTGTACTATAACTGTTGAGAATACTTCTTTAAGTTGGTTAAATTCATTCAGGACTAATAAATTAAATTTGGTTACCTCGAAGAGAAAGATAGACAGGGAGCAGAAAGAGAGTAATGATACTAATAATACTGATAATAAAAGTAATAGTTTTATTCAGAATTATATGTATAATACAATTTAAAATGCTCAGCATGCAGTATTTCAACAAAGTTTTCGTACTCTTTTATTACACAAAAGAAAAAATCCAGGAGATAAGTATTGAGAACCCATACAACCATAAATTCTTAATATTTTCATGAGTATACGTTTTTGATTAGGTCAGCTCTTATAACCTTTTCGTCATATAATATATTTGCTAGATAAGAGCGGTGTTGTAGAGCATCTGTACTTCCGCTTGTATACATGGATTCTAATATATCTGCGTCTTGTTCTACCAGACGATTTACAAAGAGAAAGATGTTAGTGGAATGAATGGCTAGTATCTGATCAAATCATACTTGGCAGGTTTTTGCTAGATTTCGAATGTCTATCCATAACCATATTCATATTAGTATAAAAAAACTTATCACATACGTTACTAACTTCTTTCTTCACTCTGTGTAACAAAGTAAAGTCTTTTCTCAAAATCTCACCAAAGAATGATGGGTAACCTTTGAAGATAATAAGTAATATACAAGAATTCATGAATCGTTGAAGTAAATATCGAATAATAGCAAAAGCATGTAGACTCCTCATTTAATAAAATAGATGGAAAACTTTTCTTTGGTATTAATGAGGCCTAGAAAGACCAATATAGAAAAGAGAGAAAGAACTGGTTTGTTATTTATTTTATGTGTACTGTTTGCAGAGATGGTTCCGAAGTGATAAGTTAAATATGAAGGAAATGAAAAGTGGTTAACATTATGCGTACGTGACCAACTGTTTTTCTAATACTGTTGAATTTAACTGTTGTTCACGTATAACCGGAAAAGGTGACGTATACTTGCTTACTTATGTGTGTTACTCCTCACGGAGAAGCATGTGCCGCCCACCAGCATTGTTCATCAACGTATACATCCGATGATTTTGTATTGTATACTTTAAAAATATGATCAATACATTACAATGTTGTGCATTGAGCTCTTATTTCATTCTTTAATCAATTAAACGTTAATGGATCTGTAATAGGAACTTTTTATCATCAAACAATTGTTTTGAGCAAACAGATTTGTTTTTATTTAACTAAAGCATATAAACACCAAACCTAGTAGAATAACCTGAATTCAATATTTTGTTTCACAGTTTCTCATCTGTTTTATACAGTCTAAACATAATAACATTAATCATCAAAAACCACTGTACATAATTTATATCATAATTTCATTATAATGGAAAAGTTTCCATCGATACAGATTCATGAAAAGAGTAATAAGTATTGAAGAAGTAAAAGAGATGTTCATATGTTAATTATAATGTAAATATTTATAGGTTGATTATATGAATATTTTAGAGTAAAAACCAAGATTATAGGAATAGAATGAATTAGAAATGAAATATTAATATTGTAGGTATGTAGTTGTTAAAATAATATTGAATAACAGTACACATCCAATGATAAGTAGGAATTAATAATTAGTATCATAGAATATAAAAAAATTATGTAGTAACCATTTATGAATGAGGTTACCATGGCAGGATTGATAACTGACTCTTTTTGAATGAATAAATTTGGTTTAAGTCTTTTTATGGAAATCATTTTAGAGAAACACAGTAAATTAGACGCTCTTTGTATATTAATTGTCTTGAAAGAATTTAAGATGTAAAAAACTATAACTACTGTCAAGCGAATAGTGTACAGTTGATCTCGTGGAAACGTGTTATCACTTTATTCTAGGCTTCTGTGACGTTTGTTCAGTAATGAAGACACTAACTTTCCTTTCTGTTCTTTCATTATGTGTGCGTTAGCATGTACATGTAAACTGGTACAAACGATTCGAGATAACATAAGGTGGGAATTTTTAAACATATGACTGTCTAAATGATCAGTTCTTTTATTACAGAGATATCAGATTGACAGTTGAATACATTCCTTTTATTATATCCTTTAATTCGAAATCAATCTCATGCATTATACACAATCTAAACCTTCAATATGTAGTATATCCGAACCACAAAATAAATGTCTGAATAACATCAGTACTGGGATGCATTTATATCTGTCTGATGAGTTCAAAATAATGTAAAACTCTCGTCCAGCGTCCCTTTTGCTAGCTACAATCCATCTAATTAAGAAAAAAATATAACAAAATTTCTAAATCTAGACAATATACTCAGAACATACAAATACTAACAAAAAAACAAACAAAATTCAGTCCTTAATATTAACAACAGGATAATTCAACGGTTAACGAATAATGATTTAACTTTGTTTGATTTATAATGAACTAATATATATATCGTCATTATATAGTTTTTAGTATTCAAATTTCTTTTCATTTCTTCATGTAGCTTTCTTGTATCATTTTTGGTGGATGCACGTGGTGGATCGATGCGTGGTAGTCGTCATCCAGGTCTACGAATTTTAGTCCCACCAAGTGCAGCAAGTGCACCAACACGTATTACCTGCCGTATGTTACGACCTGAACGTACAGCTCGACCACCTCAATTGAATGATTGTGAAGGATTAGCTTGTCGGTAAATTTTCATTTTTAAAATTTTACTATATCTATAGACTGTTTATTCTAATAACTTAACCTTTGGAACACTGAGCTAGGATTTAATGGTACATAAGTTTAAGGTCAAACAATCCACGATATTGCGTGAACATCTTCCATCGCCGTGAACGGTGGATCTAGACCTCGTCGGCTTTGTAGAAGCTACCCATTGAAGACAATGGAAAATGCTCGCGGTAAATCGCAGGTTGACTTGCACACCATTGGATGTCGGCTCAGTGGTCTGAAGATCAAGCGTTCACGCTCAAGGCCGCAGGTCATAGGTTTGATTACCGGTTTCATGGTTGCTGCAGCGCACTGCTGAATAGTTTCACACTATCAAGAAATGACAGTCTAGTGCTTCCAGGTTTTCAATGATTGTCTAGCTTAGATAATTGATCTCAACAAATAATTCAGCTTAATTATTTCTTTTGAAAGTTTACTATCGAGGAAATCTGTCTTTTTTTTCTTAAATTGGTTTAACCTATATTTCCTTAATTTTTGTATATTCCATATAGTATCATTGAGTTAGGACCGCATCCATGTCGTTTCAATTCACCAGTTGTGTTAGAAATTCCACATTTTGCTTCATTACGTGGTCGTCAACGTGAACTCGTTGTATTACGTAGTGATAATGCTGAAATATGGCGTGAACATTCACTAGAAGCTACAGATCAAGCAGTTCAGTCAGCTGTAGGTCAAAGTTTCGGTAAGTATTCAGAATATGAAGGTATACATTTTACTAGATAGATAGATAGTACTTTCTAATAAACAAAACTAATGATAATTAGTAAAGTCAGTTTTTATTTTCTTATTTCGGATCATAATCCATAAGTCAAAGTGACAACATATCTTTCAAGTTGTGGATTAATATCACACATGAACAGACATGTCAATAGAAAAGATCAGGACTTAAATTGGCTCAACTTCATTCCATAAAAGTACACCAGCAAAGAGTAATTTCTTTCAGTATACATTGCATTTAGTGCTAAATACTTGGCTATAATATAAATTTTAAAGAGTAGCTGATTTCTTTTTCTAAGTTGCTGTTCAAGATTACGTATTATTGAGAATTAGTCTCTTATTAGTCGTTTCTAATTAACAAGGTGTATCTGTAGTGTTGAGAAAACTAGTGCTCTCTGTGTGATTCGAACTTTTCTGTCATTCAGTGTTACAGTCGGTGCTACTTGGGTTGCAGCTAATCTGTATGTCATAATAAACGATTATGTGATTTGATTGTGAATGTAGTGATCTCGTATGCCTTTATTGTTTGGGAGGGGAATTTCACTTCTCACTTGATTAGACTATAGAACGATGCCTCTTTGTGGCGTCCCTGGAAAAGAGACTAGATTAGGAATGGTCTTGACGGCATGATTGAGTCACCGATATGTGGAAGCCTGACCACAATGTCAAGATACCAGTTACGATTTTGAATTAACCTGTACAACTGAAATATTAACATTGATTGGTTACTGGTCAGCATCAACTGCTTAATTTGTTTCGCATTTTGTGTTAATCAAGTTCTACAGATCAGTTCGCGACGCAGCTTCTGGGCACAGTGATTTCATGTAAGCGTGACGAATTTTTGATGTTTAGTAGTTGAAGGGAACTGGAAGGAATGAGTAGTTGAAATCATCTAATTCAGAAGTATTATCACAAAATTATGTCTTAGTTTACTGGAACCTATTCTTTTGTTTTACTGTTTGGTTATAATAATATTTATCATGACATAATGTTTTCGTATCCGCATCATTTTGGTTATGAATTTGATTTAAACAGATACGTTAGAGACGCTGGAAGAACTTCGTGCGAAACGTATTATTCGTATATTGACTAATGATTTTCCACAATATATGGCAGTTGTTAGTAGAATACGCCAAGAATCATCTTTAGTTGGTTCAGATGGTGGTGTTCTTAGTTCAACAGTTGTTCCACAAGTTCAAGCTGTATTCCCAGAAGGTGCACTACAGAAAAGAATTCGTGTTGGTTTACAAGTACGTCTATTTTTTAGACTACCCTGTTGGTTTTTAAGAAAATTGCTATTATATGGAGTGTTTGATTTGCAGACATAATCAAATGAGGATTCTCGGTATCACGCAACTTTTTATTGAAGTGTATACTAAATCTTAAAGATGTCAATCCAAACAGTGAGTATTCGACGCCTATTGATCCAAGGGATTATCATTTCTAAGCATTTTTTGAGGGTTTTAAACATCTGCTTGGAGCTTTTCAAATCATATTATATAACATGGACTGTCATCATATTATAATGAAGATCATTTTCTAGCGTAGCGTAGAGTAGGTAGTATGATCATCAAGCAGTCAGTTTTACAATACATTAGTTAATGCTTTTTGTTGATGAAAGTACATTTTCTGTCTTCGAGACATGTATTATGTATTCTCTAAGATGGAATATTTGTTCAGTTCCTTTTGTTTTCAACGATTTTCTAGCTTTGTAATATAAATGAGTTTTATTTCCTTATCAATTAACCAGACAGTTGGTTGGCTTTTTCTTTAAATAACAGTTTGTTTGAAATCCAGATACAGTTCTGCAAGTAAATTATATATATTCTACCATCTCTCTCAACGGGTTATTCGATTTTAGTGTTTCATCAAACTAGTCAAATAGTTTTATCTTAGAGGTTAGAGTGCTTACATGCGTTAAGAGAACACATCAAAATAGTAAATTAATCCTTAGGAAGTGGCATTATTATATTACTTTCTAACAAATTCTGGGACAATTATTAACGTAACGGTATACATAAATAGTTGTTTTGTGTAGTTTATTTGAGGCCCATGTGATAGAACTGTAAGACAGTAGCGAATTTGTATTGATCTAGTCTGAGTATTGATCAGTCTCCGTAAACTATCTATCTAGTACCAATGACCTTCGACTAATCATTACTACGATAATACTGAGAAAGCCGAAAATAACAGTTGATAACTACTGGTCCAGAATGCGGCTTCCCAAGTTCGCTCGCCCAGTAACCAGAATAGAACAGATCACATTTAGCAAATAACTTCTTATTAAGCAGTTCAAATTTTTGAATCACCCATACAGTTATAATGGGTACAATCCTGACTATACATCAACACAATTAAAGAATTATAATATGAGCGTAACTATTCCATAAGTGGAAGTGATTTGATTGATAGGCCCTTATTAATTATCTCCTATACTATAAAGAAGTCTGTGTGAAAACATCTAACTACAATTAATCATTTTTTGTGTTGAATATTTTTTAAATTTTAGGCTCAACCAATCGCTCCAGAGTTAGTTACACGATTATTTGGTAATCGTGTTACAGTCTCGCCAATTGTCACATTAGAACCACGTCGTCGTAAATTTCATAAACCAATCACCTTAACTATACCATTACCGAAAGCTGTTGTTCGTGGTATGCTGAATCCATCGGTGAATGATTTAAAATCACAAAATGTACCAAGTTTACGATTGTTGTGCAGTATTACCGGTGGTACAGCGCCAGCACAATGGGAAGATATTACTGGATCTACACCATTGTCTAAAGTGAAAGATTGTATCTCCTTCACGACAACAGTTTCAGCGAGGTAGGATAAATAGTGGTTAATTTTTAATTTTTATTTGTATACTTATTTAAATTATTAACAGATAGTCATTGACGTGGTTCTCATTGACTTTTGAAAAAAATATTTCTCATTGTACTGGAAAAAGATATTCAGTGAAAGGTTGATATTACATTGTGTTGTTTTTAGCTCTAAAATAATTGTTAAAAATATGAAATGATTAGAATCCCAGATCTATCAAATTTTGAAGGCCGTATGATAAAATAATCATGCTGCATTAAATTCCTATGTTCTATGTAAAAAAAGTCAAACTTTTCACTATACTTTTGATGTGTTATACAGTGAAATACAGGAGCTACTTTTCCTTCCGTTTCTAAGTATTCAGCATGATTTACGCTAATCACAGTTATTTACACTGTTACTCAAATCCTTATATTCGTGTATTTTCTATACTATTCAGAAAGAACTAGATGGTTATTCAACTGAACTTGATTTAAAATGAAATCCAACTTTTACATTAAAACTAAAAATGTGACCCTGATTCCCTGTGATTAACTAAATCAAGCAGTTGAGAATTCACTAGTCGATCTAAGCTATACCACCATTGAGAACCTAAAAGTACTGGACGGCCGTTTCGTCCTATCATGGGACTCGCCAGCAGTGCGCATCAACAATCCTGCACGCGAGAATCGAACCCAGGGACCTCCGTCTAGACCATTAAGTCATGATTTAATGATATTATTGTCCAGTTTCAATCGACCCACGATATTGTGTTACTATTTTCCATTGTCTTTACTCAGTATCTACCTTACACACGGCACGGTTGAACTCTACGAGTCACGACTTTCATCTATAAATCCGGAAATTTGCTCTCGAAGATAATCACTGTGGAACATATTGTAGTTGTTGTAATGGGGTTGTGCGTTGAGGAATTCTGCATTAGAACAAGTGGTCGTCCAGTGCTTCCAAGTTCTCAACGGTGATCTAATGTTGATCGGTTCATGGAATTCAGAAGTTCGCACAACCCCATTCTGACAGGTAATAATATTGTTTATTGATGAACAAATGGGTAATCATATAAATGGACTTAGCCATCTTAGTAGGTACAGATTACCTTGTTGGGTTTCTCGTGATTATCGTAACCAATAGTTAGAGACCAAGGATGACATGATTCAACATTGTTTGCGATGGCGCATGTGCGTCCATTCTTTGTTTTCTCGTAAATCATGAGATTCTAAGATCCTCATAAATTTTCTTGTTTTTATTTCACCAATTTACATTTGTTTTCGATACGTGTCTTCAATTCTTAATCTTTCTTATTACCACTGATACTGTTACTACCTCTACTATTCGGGAATTTGCCGTGATAATCTCATCTCAGTGTGCTAATGTGCTATTGCAACTTGAACCGATATACATACATACAGGCTCAACGTTGTGCCTAACTCAACGAATGACTGACTTAAATGATTTCGTTGTCTTGATTTCAGATTTTGGCTAATGGATTGTTCAGCTGTACATGAAGCTGCAGAATTTGCAAGTATGTTGTATGCCGAAGCCACATTAGTTCCATATATGGGTAAATTTGTTGTATTTACCAAACGTTTGGATATGGATGAAGCATTAGTTCGATGTTTCTGTGTCACAGATGATAAAGTAGACAAGGTTAGTAAACTATACATTTTTAAATGGTAATATAAATCGCTAATAGACTGAAGTCTAAAATATAAACCGGTAAGTCCCAAATCAGCGGTCTAATGGTCAAGTGTTACCCTTAAGACCCGAAAGTCCATAGTTGATTCACTAACTTATGTCGTGGATGCACACTGTCACACACACTAATCAAACAGTCTCCACAATCTTCCACATTTAATAAAACAAACTTTTACAATTTTGTTTAGAAGACTTATTTGATCGCCTTTTTTCAATACAAAATCATTTTTGTTCTGGAGTTATAAACTTATCTGATGTGGAACTTATAGTAACTTCCATGACTCAAATTTCATCCTATTTAAGACTTGTTGGATTGAGATTACTCACATCTCACTGTTTTTGTTTCTAGATTCCACTACCAATCACATAACATGTAAACAGTAACTAAAGACTGCAATTGACCAGTCATTGATCAATATACATGCTTTCTGAGCTAATCTACTCAATATTGTGTTTTAATTACAGGTTTTTACTCAAGTTCTTTTGATGGCTATCGGTAGAATCTACAAGAGCATTTTGTTGTATTTAGATGTAGGTACAGACAGCTGACGAGTCCAGAAACAGGATACAGCATGGATCCTGGATTCCAATGCTAGGAACTGTCCAACATTACTAGTAGACTAATATTTGTTCTTGAGAAATCTATCGATCTTACAAGCAATAGTCTAATGATATTTTAAAATTCTTTTTAGGGGATAAGGATGGCAGTTTGGGAGTTTATTCGAACTGGTACCTTTTGATAGTCAGTATTTGTTAATCATGAAAGTAATAAAAATAATCATTTAATCATTTATATATTATAAGATTAATTATTGAACTTGTTATTTAGTCGTCAAACCATTCAACTATCCTCCCATACATTGACTTGCACCCAGTCGATTAGTAGTAGTGTGAACTCTCACGCAAAAAAGTGTATAATTCATACCTAATAAGATTTTATACATTGACCCACTAATGTAGCAACTACTACTGCAGTGAATGAGAACACAGGCAGAGACAACCAAATGCTTTCTAACACAATCTTACATTATGTCTTGGTAAAATTTGAGAACCATACAGTAAGTAGTTAATTTGCAAAATGTCCATCAGTTGTCGCAGACTTTATTGTTCCTTCATCTTCATACCAATTATTCTATTTTCTCGTTCTCTTCTCTTCGATTTTCTTAACCTTTTGTCGCCAGACATCCTACTTTCGATCAGTGATACATACTACTTATATCTGTTGACATCAGTAACACACATCACACTACTACTATTACTACTATGTAAGACTATCAAGTTTTTATTTTTTTCTAAAAATCACAACATTTCACATATATATTTGTTAACTGGATAATTCTTGAAAAACGAAATAATGGTGACGTTACCTTTATTCAAATGTAAACTTACCATTATTTTGATTCATATATTATATGAAATGAGTTAAACATAGTAAGAGATTATATTATAAATTGTTTATATATATAATCTATCAGTTAATTGATTCTATGAATTATTTAAGATGAATTTATAGAAAATTGTTTATATTGCATTGCATGATAATGTCGAATTGATAACTATGATAATGGACAGTTGTTTTATTTCAATTTGGAATGCTGTCCACGTCAGTGTACACGGAAAAACCTTTATGAAATTAAAATTTATAATCTTTGGAATTATTTAATGTTAGTCGTCTGAATGAAGTACAGTTTAGACTTCAGTCATTTTATAGTTATGGATATACTTAAATGTTATATGGTAAGAGATAATCATCAATAAACCTTGAATGTAAGTTTTATGCAAGTTGGTACTTGTCAACAAAGTGTAACTGCAAACATTAGATGACTGATGTCTTCTGTGTAATTCAATCAGTTTAAAATGATGCAATGTTACTATTGGGATATTTGAGCCACGACTGACCTTCTGTAGGAGCAATATATTTACAACTAACTGATCACTCAGCAGTAGCTGAGATTTTGAATATTTGTTATCAAATAACACAGAGCACATCATTTCCTTCAAAATTGTTGATACGTTATGCCGAAAAGTAACAACAAGCAAAGGAGCTAGGTCAAGGGTTTCTTGCCTCCAACCACCCAACATCAAAGAAACATAATGCACTCGGTGTCCTGTTACTCAGATTAGTAGCTAAATTGAAACTGAATCTATAGAATGTGATCAGAGTGGATAAATATGACATATAAGTTAGAACAACATGAAGGTTTTAGTGATAACATTAACGATAACTGATTGGATTTTATTATTACTCTTGCGTTTATGTCAAATATTAATTTAAAACCTGAATAAGCAACATCTAATATGATGAATTTAGTTTGAATTATGGTTTGAAATTGGCTGAAAAAAGTCTCTTTTAAATATCCAAGGAGTAATGCGCTATTATTTTGTTCTAGTTCACTACTCTTCAAGGGTGACCATTTATAATTTTAACAAAAAGTGGGCCTGTGACATCCAGGTAACGCAGAGCAAACAGATCAATCACATTAGACTACTGAAATGACTTTTAGTAGTTTTTAAACTTTTGTCAGTCAAAATTGGGTGCATATAAAAGCACTTTTTAATTTCATTTAGGTTTTGAATTCTAAAATTATATTGTACTTTTATGGTTTGAATCTACTGTTTCTTTTAAAATCTTGATAATTTCATCTTACTGTGTTAATACAATGTAGGAACTTAAACCAATGTAAATATGTACTACCGGATTCTGTGTTGTTTATAACTAATTGACTAATCACAATATTCTATGACGATCATCATCATTATATCAATAGTCAATAAATTGCTGATTTTATGTTTTGGATTTCGATGTTAGGAAAATAGTGTCGTTTAAAAATTCTTTTCTCTTTTGTTTTCTTATTTCTATGAAGACCTTGGAATGTCAAGAAGGTTTTGAATTGTGTGCTGCTTCACCAGAAGTTGAAATAATTGAAAGTCGACCAGTTTGGTTGGAAACAGCTGGTAATTTATTACCTGTAGCAAAATTAAGTGAACAATTACGTTTACATTTCAATGCATTCCATGAGAATAGACTTGCATTTCCAGTACGTGTAAAAGATCTTCAACACGAAGCTATTAGTAAATTAGCATTTATGCGTGAACCACGACAACTAATTCGAGTAAGTTTATTTTATTTATTTATTATTGTTGTTAATAAATTATTCAGGGCTAAGGAAAAACATTTTGTTCCTTAAAATTACATTTTATATATTAAATACAAATAGGTAAGTTGTACTTTGTACTCGAAAACCATTCTTTATAGTAAATATTTAGATAGAAGTATAATACTTACTTACTTGCTTACTTACGCCTGTTGCCCTTCGTAGAGGTGCATAGGCCGCTCACTAGCGTTCTCCATTGTACTCTGTCCTATGCAATCCTTTCCAATTGTTATTCATCCTTTTGATGTCTGCCTACTGTTTGCAACGCAATGTGTTCCTTGATATTCTTCCTTTTCGCTTCACTTTAAGATCCTAAGTTTGCTCTTGCCTCGTGATGCGATTGGTTGATTTTCACAATGTATGTTCTATCCACCACAATCGTCTATTCCTAATTTCCTCTTCATCTGGGAGCTGGTTTGTTCTCTTTCACAGTAGGCTGTTGTTGATGGTATCCGGCTAACGGATATTGAGTATCTTGAAATACTAGGACGAAATATTTGGAATGAAGTAAATGAATTTTCAGTCTTGCGTAAAAATTCAAAAGTAATGAATGAATTTTATCATTCATCTGATGAAATCCACTATGGAAATATATATTTGCATAGTACTGAGAACGTTTAAAAATTTGAAAGAAAATTCTTTTCGGCATGATTTTAAGAGAAATGGTATTGTCAGGTGCACTGATTATCTTCGTTTTCATCCAAAGATTTAGTGTAATATGTAAACCAGTCAGTTTTTTCCAGTTTATTTGAGTATAAGGGGTATTCATGGAAATGGTCGAATTTTGATTGTTTAAATCACTAACTGGTTTTAGTTGAACCTTTGTGAAAACTCTGTAAGCATTGAAAAGCCGTCTCATTTTAGTACTTCTCTGCATTGCCTATACACGACCCTGTATCTGGCGGTCGAAACTAAGACCTTTGATCATGTATGAAAACGGTTAACATCTAGACCACTGAGTCGGGATTTAACGACGATAATGTCTAATTTCAATTAATTTGCAGTATTGCGCAACCATCATCTATTGCCTGTGGTGAATAACTGTCTCAGACTCGAAAGAGTTGAACTCCATTGATCACATCTCACTAGAAATCCATGAGATGCATCTGAAACCTAATCACTAGTGACCACATGATTAGTATTTTAGAGAAACTTGTGAAGATTACTAAGTACTAGCGTTGAGGATATCCAGAGTATCCCTCATAAATGGTCTAGAGGGGCCCTGAAAACACTGTAAAACATTTGATCCAATTAGCATTGAATGAAAGTTTCTAAGAAACATGTGCCACATTTCTGACTGGATGATTATCTATTTTGCTAGAATGTTAAGTTATGTTCCAGAACTTACCAGTAACCCGAAGCTATCTGAAATGCCGTAAATACCCTTGATTTTCTGTACATAAACGAACCTTGGATTAAAGCGTTCTTTCCGCATCTAGTGCCTTTTCTCTCTCGTCGAAGTTGTCGTGTTTATTTAGCTTTGGGTTATTAGATCTTAGAAAACTGATTTAAGCGTTCAGCCAGAAGATTTGTCAACTAGGTGATCTGGTGAAGCAGGAATGTTAAAATATGCGACGGTACTTACTTATCAATTCATCATATATTCAGAAAACAATAGTTCTGGTAAATTCATCTACATAACTCTTCAGCCAATTTGATAATCCCAAGATTTTGTCGGTAGAAATGAATTTCCTCATTAAACTATTTGTGGCTATGACAAAGATACAGAATGTAACTTTGAATGAATAAATTGTCACTCAGCTGTTCAAGATTATTCAACGATGTATGTACAATATTCTTTATAGTTTATACTTAAACGTCACTAATAACATAAAGAGGATGTTCACTAATAGTGGTTATACAATCAGTTAATTAACGTAAAAACAAACTTATTCTCAATATAAATTTTACATTATTTTTACATTTTCCAAACAGTTATTTGTGATTCAATAGAAAGCCAGTCTATATGATATCTGTTTCACAAGACTTTCATGTTATCTGAACATGGGACACGTTTTTATTGACTGTGTTGTATTCAAATTTCATATTTCTAGGAAGTAATAGATATGACACGTGTTTTATTTATATTGTTGTCCAACTATTAAAATATGTCGTTACAGCTAAAATTATGGATCGTGTATTTGTGTAACAGTTTTGGTGATAATGTTAGGTTACTCGCTTTGTTGTGTCTGTTATGGATGATTAGCTTCACAGACCTATCTGATGTTCATGGTGCCGGTGTGTTGTTTGTTCATCGATCAGATAACGAGCATACTGCATAGTAGTTTACTATGTATCACTTTACGAATGTCAGTAATGATAAATGCTATGCATAGATTGCCAGAGATTGATGATAGATATCCTCAGAGTATTGATAGTGTGGGGATAGAATTACAAAGTGATTAATGTTGGTATTTAGTGTAGAGTACTCTAATATTGAGATGATTGAATAACGTGTAAACTGTGATTCTTTGTCAATAGAAGTAAAATGAGATTTATGTTATATATCCCCACTCATAATCTACTCAATCAAATTAAGTCAGCTAACTTTGAAGAATTTCGCTCAAAATCGTGGATTGATTGAAGGTGGACAATAATACCTTTGGATACTGACTCAGCAGTCTAGAAGTTAAGCGTTCGCACGCGAAATCGCGGTTCCTGGGTTCGATCCCACCGTATTAGGATTAAACGGTCACCCAGTGCTTTTAGATTTACTTTGATTGGTTCAGGATCTCAATGAAATTTCTCAATTTCGACAACCGTATACTGATAACGAAAAATATGTTGCTTATTGTTTTTTAAACTTGTAAAATTCGAATCCTTTTTCTTTGATGTGAACTTCTTAAAATTCATCGAACTATGAAAAGCAGTTATACCTTTCAGTAATAATATTGTTCTCATAATCATTTATGAATTATCGTTGAAATAGATCATAACAATTTTTCTTCAATCTATATGATTCAAATGACATCACACTTTTATCAATATAATTCATCTAACTGAAAGTTTCTAGAATTTACTAATAATTATTTCTATCATTAATTATTGTGAATAGGTCACAAAGTTATTCATCAATGTGATCTGTAACTAGATTATATATAATCCATTCCAAGTTAATAATTTATCTTCAAATTATTACAGTTAGTTAAGCATATAAGCAGTACACATTATTAATGAATGAAACTAGCATGTATTGATTATTTCACCCCAAAAATTTACTGAATTTCGATGTTCGTATAGCCAGATATGATAATAATGATAATAAGTGGAGTTGACGGAATATGGTTAGCGGCAGAATCCACGACACACGCTTCGTCATATTTAGAACTCGTCATTTGGGTGTAGTTCCATCCCAAGACTCGAACCCCGCTGTTATATCCTAGTGAAGATTAAATTACGAATAACTTCCGAGGACTATTAATGGACTAATATTCTATAAATATTCTCATTGTATAATTATTCAGTAATTAGATTATGTATATTTATATTCCTCTTATTATAAGCTTCATTTTGACCTATAATGTATTATTATACGATTTACTGTCCCTAAATTATGCTCAGTTTATTAACTACTGCCTCCCACGTTCACAGCCACTTTTGGCTTTATTGTGTTCAAATGTTATTTCCTATTTTATGATGCGTTTAGGTGTCTGTTTGATTGATATATAAACCCAATATGCCTGAAATAAACGATTCGATTCAATTCGATTCGCATAGTGGGAGTTGGTATTGGTGTTCTGGACTCAAGTAGACGGGCTAGGCGGACATAGGACTGATAAGGACGCTGGGCTGCCCATACCGGTCGAACGTCATTGGTTTGACACAGTGCTAAGACTGTATAGGTCGTATTATGATTGGTGAATAAATCAAGTGATAAAAAGCCAGACATAAGGTCATAACACCCGCCCTGTCCGCTTCAAACACCAACGCGTCATCTAATTAGCTACTGAGTACGCGAAGCCATTCTCTTGCACAAAGTGTATGAGTTTTACTCTAACTCGTAATAGATTGGGCACAGTAGCTAACTGGTAACATGTTGGCATTTGAATCGAACGATGCTGTTCAGAGTCTCGGAGTGAACATCAACTCTGGGATGCAGGTATATCCATCTGACGAGTCCGGAATAAAACAAAACTCATGTCTTGGATTCCACTGCTAGCCACCATCATGTATGTTTATAATACCTTCAAATAATTATTATTGAGAAATCATATTCTTATAAATATATATTTTGTTTATAACAAAACATGAAGGCATACACTATTAGTATTCATTATTAGTCGGTTCAAACTGATTTAAAACAGGGAAAATTACTGCAACATTTTCATAGTTAAAAAGTAGGTGACTTAAACGTTTGTGATAATGTTTTTGCATTTTTTTCGCGCCTACACTAATGTGATTCATTTGCATTATGTTAGGAGCCTTCGATAATGTTTAGAAAGCTTTTCAAAAACAGAAAAAAATTGTTGAAAATACGATGACCAATTAGTAACTGAAAAGGTTTATGTGGATAATATAGTAATTTCAATAGTTGAGATCATGAGTCAATTGAAGCTAGGCCACCTGGAAGCACTGGACGGCCGTTTCATCTTACTGTGGGACTCCTCAGCAATGTGCATCCACCATCCTTCCTAGCGAGATTCGAACCTGTGTTCTTTCGGTTTCGCCTAACCTCTAGACCACTGAGCTGGCATTCAGCAGTGTTAATGTCTTACTTCAACTAACCCACGAGATTGATCGATACATTCACCATTGTTTTTCACAACAGACCCGGTTGAACTCCACTGGTCACTGATTCTCACTAGTAACTCATTAGTAACTTTCTATAGAAACTTCTAAGTGAATTCTCGATAACGGCTAATTATCATTTTGTTATCCTGATACGAAAATTATTTACTAATCTTTGTTTACAGATTTTTATGAATCTCAGTGTCAAATATAATCCAATAAATACATAAAATGACCTTGAAAGTAAAATACCTTTCATATTTCTCACCTTTAGTTTTTATTAAGAATTGAAAAGTAGAAGATTTTGGCGAACGATAAAGCGTTTAGAAAATAGGTATCCAAGCGTTCAAATACCAAGACATATGGGATAGTACAGGTCTATGTATACCGCATTTAGCTATATTATTAATATGTGAAAATGAATAAGATCATATGAATCCCTTTATCAAATTATTATTTTCCAATCATTCCCAAAACAAAAGATGAACGAAATAATCTAATAAGAAGAAAAAGAAATGAATAAATTAACTTTTTTCTTCTTCATTATTCATAGGATGGAGATGGTGATTCACAATATATCTATCATGAAATAACTCCTGTTCAAAAACCATTATGTACATTAGAAATTCGACTTAGTTCAGATAATGGTGTTAATGGTCAACATGGTCTTGATCTTTCATTGATTGGTTTAGAAAATCATCCAGAATTTTTAGATCAATTAAATGAAACTAGTGCAGCTGAATTAACAATGGGTTCATTAAGTTGTGTATTCCCATATCCTAAACGTGTTATTAATGATGAACAAATTCTTAATGGACAAAATAATGAAATTAATAAACCTATTGGTGGTAATTTGGCATCAAGTAAGTTTTTTTTTCCTTTTTTCTCAAATCAATTATGGTAATTTTTTAAACTATTCACTTTATTAAAATATTTATTATATGGTAAACAGTAGAATTCGGGATTTATCCAAGGGATCTACCTGTATCGCACTGGTATTGTTCACATTATGACTAGATTAGAATGATCATTTATTTTACAGTTCAATTTATATGAACAAATTACTTAACATTTAAACGTACCATAATTGTCACAAAAATTAAGTTGATGACTAGAAATTAGATGTAAAATTGTCAACTATTCAAATTAGATAGGTCTAACATTTTATACAACAATCTGATCCGATTTTCTCCTAGATTTTAATCAAAATCAAAAATGTCATCGAAATAATGCTTCAGTTTAAAAATTTCCATTCACAGCGAATTCAAGTTGGGGGGGAGGTGGTAACAGGAAATTAAATGTGTCTAGTCATAAGTTGAGCTTCTTTATTAAGTCAGTCAGTCGATTATAAACAAAACTTAGGACCTGGTACATTAATTACTTACCTATTTACGTCTGTTACCCTACGTTGGAGCATAGGCCGCTGATCAGGATCCTCCAACTACCTCTATCCTTGGATCTCCTTTCCAGTTTTACCCAAATGCTACTCGTCATTTCGTTTTCTGCATCCGGTTCCTATAACAATACGTTGCTTGATCTTTCTTTTTTCTGTGTCTCTTTAAGACTGTTAGTTAGGATTGCCTTGCGATGCAATTTGATTTCTACGATATATGTCCTATCCACCTCTATCTTCTTTTCCTAATTTCCTTTTCATCTGAGAGCTGGTTTGTTCTCTTTCACAGTAGGCTGTTGCTGATGGTATCAGGCTAACGGACATTGAGTATCTCGCGTCGACAATTATTTATAAATACTTATACTTTTTTGATGATGGCTGTGGTAGATCTCTAAGTTTCAGCTCAATACAGTAGAACTATTTTGACGTTTGTAATAAAAAGTCTGACTGTGATGTTGGCTGACAGTTGTTTCGAGTCTCACATGTTCTTCAGTTGTGGAAATGCTGCCATCGCTTTGCCGTTCAATGTCTTTGCATCTGCGTTAGTTCCTCTTTGTATATCTGTGATGCTGCCTAGGTCTGTAAAACTTTTCATTTTATTCAGAGTTTCTCCATCGAGTGTGATGGTATTGGTGCTCTGTGTTGTATTTCATGATCTTGCTTTCTCCCTTGTATATGTTGAGACCTGCTGCTGTAGTGGCTGCTGCTATGCTGGCTAACTTCGCATGCATTTGTTGCTGTGTATGGGATACAAGATCTAGGCAATTTACGAAGTTCAAATCGTCTGGTTGCATACAAGCAGTCCATTGTATTCCTTGCTTCCTCTCAAATGTAGAGGTATTCATAATCCAATCGACCACCAGAAGAAAGAGAAAAGGCGAAAGTCATTAGCCTTGTCTGACAACTGCATGTTGATCTCGAATCTGGGCGTCTTCTGAATCCTTCTCCCGGTTCAACAACACTCTGTTGAAAACTTTTCCTGGTACTTATAATAGTGTGATGCCTGTACGGTTCTCACATTTGTTCATATCTCCTTTCTATGATATCTTGATCCTTCTTTCCAGTCTGTCGGCACTTGTACTCTCACCCAAATCTTCCTGAAAAGTATGTGAAGTATACTTGTTGTTACTTCTGTTTCTGACTTCAGTGTCTCTGCTGGAATGTTGCTTGGTCCTCCTGCTTTCCTACTCTTGATTAGTCTGATGGCTGCCGTTTTTGAAGCTCAAATGAATGCAGGATTTCAGTTGAAGCCTGAATACCTTGATGGTATTAACTCATATAGTGAAACTGGTTGGTAGCACGGCTTTGTATCCCACAAGGAGCACCAATCCTCTCAAGATTTTAGGTTCTCTTTACTAACATGTGGTAACTAGCTTAAAATGTTGGGTCGAACAGTATTTTCCTACCTACACTTGTACTACTTATCAACTACTTCTGTAAATGTATTTTATCTCAACTTGTTTTTTTCTGTTTCTCTCTTTCAATTAGCTTATACATCAGATGTAATTGCTCGTAGCCAAATTGATTTACTGCAAGTTGCTAGTGAAATTGGCTCAGATTGGCCTAAACTAATCGAATTCCTCTTACCTCAATCTCATTTAAATAGTTCATGTACTGTGAATCAATTAGTTAATTGGATTAATGAAAATGAACCAAAATGGCAAATTAAAAGAAATCAGTTAGCTATGGAAATGGGTAAAATAACAGGAGAAAATGACGGAGGTGATGTAGTTGGCAGTTTTGGTGGTCCAATTAGTGTAAATGAATTACGTACAATACAAGATCAAGCATTAGCGGTACTATTGGCATGGCGTGAAGAAAATGGAGATTCAGCCACAGGTATGATACATAATAATAATAATAATAATAATAATAATAATAATAATAATAATAATAATAATAATAATAATAATAATAATAATTGCATACACTAAGTTCCTCTTTATCAACTTTAAAGGACTCATAGTTTATTTCATGTACTGACTATAGTTAAATAACCATTTAAAACAAAGGAGCACTAGGACAACTGTTTCATGTGTGTTTCATGTTTGAAAGGACCTTTAGGCGCTGTGATAAAGTGTAAAACATTGGTTACCAACTCATTAGTCTAAAGATTAAGTGTTCTATGTGAAACTTGTGAGTTTTGGGTTAGATCTCTGATAGGCTCGTGGATACTCACTGCAAAGGCACTGCGTACTAGAACAAAACAACGATCTTGTCCCTCATGAATTGTATCGTTCCTGACTAAGATCATTTTATAATGTAAAATGTCAAAGTTCTTATAGATTTATTATTTATTTCCAAGCTAACTAACCTCAGAATTCAAATACATATTTTGTGAATCATAAAACTTTGAACTTGATAATGTTCCTTATTTATCATGTTTAATAAAATATTAAACCTGAGCTTCATGTATTCTATTATACTTTCTTACTACAATTGAGTGCAACAAAACTTTCACTATGAGACGTCATAACTCCTCTATACGATGATCCTTCTCCCTCCGAACGATGAGTTTAACTAATTTTTTTGCATCCAGTTGTTTTCTACGAGATAAAGTTGCTAGCTTTACTCCCAATACTATTCCTTCACACAGTTTTGAGGCCTACAGTTTCTCCCAGACAGCTTCACTTAGAGCTATATGTGTATATTCATTGAGGGTTTTAATTAAAACACCTTAGTTTAATATTGTTTTTGGAAATTGTTTAGTACATTTCGATTTCCAGGCTTCTATATATCATTTCAATTTGATCTTGATATTGTCACTGAACAATCACAGTAATCTTTTCCTTCAATTCTTTCCGTGTTCACTTACTTTCCTTTCTTATTTGAATATTAAAATGTGTATACCATTTTAAATACCTACATATATAGATACAATGAGATATGATGATTCATTGCAGTCATGTTCAGATAGACTTATTGAATAATGGATTAATGGAATTGTTTGTCACTTTTAGATGAACATTTCTTTGACAAAGTTCATCTTCTTGTTATACTATCTAAATGTATCTAATTTACTATACCTAGTTCTCTGTTTTCACAGAAAATAGTGTTTTTTAAGATTTATTTAAGCCTTCACATATTATTAGAAACGACTGATAGTGTCATGAACATCGGCGTCCAAATTAAGTATTTCTGTGCAAATCAAAGGACAAATGGATACAGTATTAGTTTATTTTATATTATCTTTAATTGAAATACTATTTAGTCGTAATGAATGTTATCAATTGTATACGGGATCAAAACTGATAATTTTTAAATCTCATTGCTAATATGATGCATTTACACCTTCAGAGTAATCAGTTTTCGATAGTTTACTCCAGTACTTGTTAGCATTTATTGATTTTCAAGGGGATTCGTTAAGCCTTGGTAGAAAATAATTTCTACCTCCAGATTAAAAACTGGTTCTTCATAAAACTATTGAAAAAAGTGTTTTTAGGTACCTTTTGAAAAAAAGCATAATTTCAAGTCACTGACTTGACTGAATGACTGACCAAAGTCTCTCAATCATAAACTTCATATTTATGAAATCATATTGTCATAACAAATTCTTGTGATCATGCTCCGAATATAGTTGATAAAATATGATTTTATTGCAAGTTTAATGTCGTCTAAATTAAATTAAAATGTTACTTACGCCTGTTATCCCTCATGGAGGAGCATAGACCGCCCAACATCACTCTCCATCCAACCCTGTCCTGGGTAATCCCTTCCAGTTCTTTCAAGTGTAAAATCACTGACAAGTAATCAACTTTCTCTACAGAAAACTTCTTTTAAGATTATCAATATGAAATTTCATTGATTATCCTGATAATACATTTAAATGACTTGTATTAAATTAAATAGATCCGTTGAACATACCATATTGGCAATGTTGAACGAAATCTTCTACAAATAAGGTTTCATTTTGAAAACATTTCCCACTGGAAATAAAATCACTTCTTTATGGATTCCATGCTCAGAGATAGTTATTAAAAACATTTGAGAGTATAATGAATAAAACTAGTTCAATTTCTGGAGTTCCAAAGTTTTAGAAAGAAACTGTTTCAATGACTTTATACTTGGCTGCATTACACAGGTGTTTTACAGTTATATATGTCGCTATGTCATTATTAACTTGCGTAAAGTGGCGATTCGTTTACTTGACTTCAAGTCACATTTTAATTGTAAGAGCTAGTAGGTATATCACCCAATAACTCAAACTTAGATAGGTGAAACAAGGTTTATACCTGTGACTTTGTAGCTGGATGTTAGACTAATTAGCTATTGAACCACTTGTTCACTTAATATTCATGCATAACATCATTATCATTGTTACTAATTATACTTATTATTATTATTATTATTGTTTCATTTCACAAAAAAGGTAATGAATTAGATTATGCACTTCGTCAAATTGGCCGTGAAGATGTCATTAAATCATGTATGCGTGATATTCGTTATGTACTTGATGCTGATGAACATACAAAGGTGAATATGACTTATGCATTTCGTATTATTTCTTATTTCTAAAATCATTATCACATTTCATTTTAATCATAGATAATTTAGGTAATTAATGAATTACATAGTTTGTAGAGATTTTCTTCATTTTAACTTGTTAAATCCAATTGAAAAGTGAGAAGTGAAAAAAAAGTTAGTTATCAAAGCACACAGAATGTGAATGATCAACCTATTGAGTTCTAAAGTATGATTCATAAGGTTACCAACAGGATAACAGGTCGATGGAATTCGATTAGTACCAAAGGATAAGACAAACCTGACATTGATCAATGACGAGTCACTTGTGGACGTTTAAGTCCTGGAGAAGGTCAGTTTGTGGCTCAAGCAGCTCAGTGACATTGTAGACTGATAACCTTTGGTACAGCTTCAAATCCTATAAAGATAATCAGTTCCTGCAAGATACTGTGAAGAGGAGAAAACCGAAAGCAATCAAGATAGCAACAAGAATGAAGTGCTAACAAAGTTTATGAGAAACAATTCAAAGAAGATGTGCAAATGTATGATTTTCACATTTTACTAAACCACTGTATGATTTTGCATTAAAAAATTGGTTATCTCAACTAAGTCTTCGTTCACTACAGCTGCACCTACACCTTACTTACGAGTGTCAACCAGCATAAAACATAAATTCAATAACTTCTGTCTACCATCCCCCAATTAAATAGCATCAGAACTTGATGTTTTACTGGTTTGTTGCTATACTCCCATACCCTGAGCCCCTAAATACAGATGGCGTTGTAGACGGGAGCGAATCGATAATGAGTTCCAAACAAACACTAAACAATTATTTCCATTTATCATACTGAAACGTTTGCCTAATTATATTGTTTTTCCCGAATTCAACTATCCTCTTATATTTCGTAGTTCTTAATACTTATCATGTCAAAGCATATCCGTAACTCTCAACAAATCAAGGATCATCACTTTTTTGTTATGTGTATATCCCATGAATTAACAATTTCATATTTAAAGTCATTCAGTTTACAGAGTTATTTCAAAATACGTTTTGTACAAGATAAGGAAATTTGTCACACTCATAATTTAATATCGACACTTTTATTTTTCTAAGTAAAATGAATTAAAATTCATAAATCACAATGTATTTACTTATCCTATGGTCTTCATTCTAGAATATAGATATGCCTACCAATGCCCGGTTATAATGGTATTTCTTGACCTTCAGGTGGCAAACGACCCCAGTAATCTACAGTTTCTATGGCAATGTTAGCCATTGAAGGGTTACCAAAGTAGCATGTAAAGGATTTTAATTAGAGTTTATAGAGAACTAACATTAGCACTGATAAGATCATTTAGTGTTCGTTAAGGTTAAAACTTCAAGAAATGGATATATGTGTATCAAGTTATATGCTCACCATTTATTTTGAGAGTCGTCTTTCTCCATTTACAATTTGCTGTTTATTTTTATTTATTTATTACTTTCAATCACTTTGTCAGGCTACGCGTCAAATAGATGAAGGTAAACGTTCAGATCCTGTGAATCCTAATTTGTCAGATCCCTTCTCAACTTCTCTAGCAGCAACATCAACTTTAATGTCTGGCATGAATGACATAACAGCTAATGATGTTGGTGACCAGTCTATGATTGGCTTTGATAGAATAGATGCATTAAAACATCCAGATGTAAGGATTACTCCGATGCCAGATGAATCAGAGCTGATTCCTCAAACTCATCTTGGCCTAGATAGTCAAAGTCCAAGAAAATCCGACGTCATTATTCATGGTAGTGGTGATGAAGAAGTAGAGGGACGACCTTCTCCTGCTTCACAACAAGGTCAGACTGAAGTAGAAGAAGACAATGAAGAGTTTTGGCAACAACAACAACATCAAGCAGGAATTGAACCAGCTTGTTCAACTAGTCAACAAGGTGGTGATCCAATGGTTGTACAGAAACATGATGAAATAATAGTACAAGAAGAAGCAGATATAATTCGCGACAGTGAATCAATGAGCAGTTCTGAATTGATTGCATCTACTTTACAAGGTTCTCAACAAGAGATCTATGATACAGATGCGAAAATTGCAGGCACATTAAAGTTAGAAGGTGAAGTTGAAGAAGATGCACTTCAGAGTCAACAACAGCTGGAAAATATTGCAGGTCATCATAGAGGTGAGAATAATAATGTTGCTTATTTCATATAATAATCTATCTTCATTTTGTATATAGTTTAAAATAAAACTTAATCGGGTTCTTTCCTTTATCTTGTATGATTAACACCATAGTCTAATCTTTGTCATATAACATTTGAAAACTGGAAAGTAATGGACAGCTATTTTGTTCCGGTGTTGGACTGATCGGCAGTACCCACTGATGACCTGACCTGGGACCAAACTCATGACCTTCATATCTCATGGAGAGCACTTAACATCTGGCCTACTGAGTCAGCATCCAATGAATGACGTTTCTAATCCCAGCCAATTTTCAAAATTGTGCGACCCCCCATCAATTTTGTCAGGTGGTAGCTGTCTCACACCTGACATGGTTAAACTCCACTGATCATAGCCTCTCACTGTTCGATCGAAAGTCATTTATGGATATACAGCAGCTATATTGTCTAAATGTTGTCTATTTACATGTGTTGTAAATATCTGCCAAAACCCAATATTAGATGCTATCATGTCATACAATAATTCAACATTCTTTATAAGTTTCATTTCATTGGGAACATACAGAACGTTATAAAGAGCAATTGATACCTATATGGTGCGAATTTTCAAGACTTATGCTTTAGTGGTTAACTCCTTGAACTGAACTCTACCTTTTTTAATTGTTTTGGTCTTGAAATCATGAACCTATCTAAGTTAGATCACCACTGAAACTTGGAAGCACTGAACGCCTGTTTATTCTTGCATCAATGACTCCGCACGTGAGAATTAAACCCAGAAAATTCAGCCTCACGTACCAACATTCAACCTCTAGACCGCTGAGTTGTCATCCACCAGTTTTAATGTCTAGGTTCAGTCAATCGACGATACTGCACCACCATCTTCCATTGTCTTCAGCTAGTAACTGCCTAACACGTGATATTCATATTATTGGCTGCCGGCCCAGTGTTCTACAGGTTAAACGTTCTCGCGTGAGATCCAAGGTTATCGGTTTGGGTCATTCGTGCTGGATCCTGGGTCCACACTACTGAGAAATCTGATACTAAGACGAAATGACCGTCCAATGATTGTAGGTTTCAGTGGTGGTCCAACATTGATCGGTTCATGATTTTAATGTGATTCAAAATTCTTCACATCCGTATATTGTTTTGGTTTTCTCTAAGAAGTAGTAAAACAAATAATTTCATATACAATCAGAATAACTTTCTTATTCCGTTATGACATTCCTCAACAGTGCGCCAGCATGACGTCACAAAGGATTAAATCTAAGACTTATAGGTCTCGTTGACGAAACAACTATCCACTGCTTCCTCGTTTTTAGTGACTGTTCATCTAAGACCAGTCAGTATTAACTATAATATACAACATTCTTCTCAAACTCGTGTACTGATTGATATTGTCAGCATGGAGCCTAACACAGATATGCGTTGCCCAAGTTGCCACACTACACTAGCATAAAGACATAAAAATAAAAAAGAGATCGAGATGATGTAGTGGCGATGACAAAAAGAAAGACCAAACCTTAGGAATACGACGTTAAAAGACAGTAGAGTAGTATGTATGACGAAATACTGGAATTCAAAATATGGAGGAAAACAAAGATTGAATCTATCTTCACCATTGTGAACGATTCTGAGATATGTCATCTAAAGTCTCCAGTTGCCGATAATGGTTATCATTCAGACTACGACTGGGAAGTCAGTGACTTTATGGATTGATGTCACATGTTAGTTTGTTCACCCCTAGCTTACTTTCAACCTCTTTCTCCACTAGTAAGCATCGCTTGTCAGAGTATACAGTTATAAATTTCATTGTTATTTGTTGTATATTTAGAAGCGGACTTATTATCACCTACACAAATCCATCAAGAAGAACATAGTATTACTAGTTTATCAGAGGATAATAACGGTGATGCTGGTTTAAAACAGTTAACAAGTGCCAATAATACCAACACTAATGATATAACAACTTCAACTAGATCACAACCTACTAGTGAACATCGTTGGGATCAAGAAGATGATCTATCAGATATTGTTTTACAAAACGAAACTGATAAAATGAGTGAAACCGATATTCAGTCGTCACATGAAGGTAAGTCTTTTTATTTCTTTTTATTTCAAAATAATTCTTATTATTTTTTTCCTAATGATGATGTACTTCGGTAACAAAGTATAAGTTCTTGGAACTCACTTTCTTCGGGTAACAGTTCATACACATATTTGTTGGTTGATGATGCTATTAGGCTGCCTGTCTAAAAATGTGAAATATATACAGTAGATCTGGCTGATGAGACACGAATAGGATGAAACGAACCTTCTGGATCCCACAACTGATCACTATTCAACTGTGATGAAAAAAATAAAGTTTTAGAGTGTTGGAGCTTGTAAATTCACTCAGTTGTTCAGTCGAACAGCTTTATTTATCAAATAATCACTTCTTGTATTCTACGAAATTGCAAGCTTTTAGCAGAAGATTTGATATTTAGTAGTCGATAATGAAATTATGTTATCAACTTAAAGTATTATACTTGTAGTTAAATGAACAAAAATATTCGGTAGGTGTTTGTATCGGTCAAATATACGGTTATGCTTTGATTTGTAAGTTATTTTCATTACAGTTTCATTTCAGTCAGATCACTTCTGAAAACTAGGGAGTAATAGACAGCTGCCCCATTGTATCGTGAAGCTCTTCACAATTGCGTAAACACAACCCAGCTAGACATTGAGCTCAGGACATCTAATTCTTTTATCAAATACTTAACTATTAGGACCACAAAGTGGATGTTGAATGGTACAATTTCAGCTTAAATCAATCTACGGTTTACTTTAATGATTATCCACAGTCATTGATAACGACAGTTGTACTCAAATTATGCTTTACATATCATTTCTAGTTGTATTTGGTTTGATGAGAACGTATAAATTGATTGTTGAACTAGATACTACTAGTATTCAAGCTAATCTTTGAATCCTTAAAGTTTCGTAAAGTACACCTCTGTTTGGAGTCAGTAAGACTTCGCTTTCTATAAAGGTATTGTTCTATAAGGGGATTTAGAGTGAGAGAGGTAGTTAGTGGACTTGTCACATCCTCACCCGTATCATGGATTTGGAGAGGACTTAATCGTCTCTTTCCTTCCTTCATTTCTAGAAAATGTTACCTCTCTTCTTTTCTGACATCATTTTGGTCCCACGTTGTGTAAGAATGTATCTGTATTAAATGCGAAAATAAAAACTTCATATCTATCATTTAGACAGAGCTAGAGGGCTGCTAACAGTGGAATCCAGGACGTGCATCTTATCCTATTTGGGACTTGTCAGTTGGATTTGCTTGCACCAGTGTTGATGGTCACATCGGAACTCGAACCCTGTAACTTTCAGTTCAAACACACGACGCATTATTCACTTAGCTACTGAGACTATATAGCCGCTAGCTTGTGCAATAGGGTGAATTTCGATTTAAGTTTTAGTGGTTGCCTGAATCTTCCTGTTGATGTCATGGATTGCAATTGATAAGTCCAGGCGTATTTTACATTCCACTGATAACTACTATCCAACTTAGGTTAAAAAATGCTTATGACTGATGGAAAGATCAAGGGAATCCATTGAAGAGACTCATATGTTAGAAAAAGCCTAGATCAATTGCAATCCATTACATTAACGGAAAATTCAAACACTCAATATGAAGGAATTTATATCTAGCTGTCTATATGTTATGTCTCTTTATCATTTACTTTCTATTCTAGTGACAAATAATGAAACACCAGATGTAGATATAAGACATGCTCATCATGTTGGCTATACATCAGATCAACCGATAGATAATAATCATAGTAGTATAATGCAAAATCTTGAAGCATATAATGAACAAGATGTTATTGGTGCTAATGAATTGGATGTTATGGAATCATCAAGACAACGACAAGATAATTCTAATGAACATCAACAACAACAACCTTCAATCGTTGCTTCATCAAATGCACATCATGGTCTTGCATCTATTCCACATAATGAAGATGGTGGCAATTCTGTTGAATAGAAAAAATTGTTTAGAAAAAATAAATACAGAACAATAGTAACAACAAAATAAACGAAACGTCTCAAAGAGAAAATCCGGTTTCATGTAGTTGTTATTTGCCATGCTTTTTTTGTGTAGATTTTGTTTTATATTCGTTATCACTTTAATTGTTTTCTTCTTTATAATAAGAATGTGGGTTAATGATGAGAGGGCATTAGGGAGAAAAGCTATTCATTGCATTATTGTTGTCTATCTTTCTTGTTATTTTCCACATTCTCTCATATACACAAACTTCGCTATGCCTTATCTAGTCATTAAAAAACAACAACAACACAGCATCGATGTTCGTTTCACATGTGTTGTACACTTGCACACTTGCACACTTGCACACACACACACACCATCACCCGTTCCTCTTTCGTTGTACTCCTTCAATGCTCGACTTACCATTATTCTATATATTGCTTGATTTCTTTTTTTTTTGACTACATCTCGCAATACAATACAATATTTTATGCAAGTCATAATAATAAATAATTATGTAATTTTAATTTCTATGTATTATTTTTTTGTTTCTATTTTAATTGATTAAATGGTTACACTCTTTACTGCTATTTGAATCATGATTATTGTTATTGTTATTTGAAGAGATAATTCAAGGTGGAAACCTTTCAAGGAATATACAGTAACGAGAAAACATACATTCACACACACACACACACACTGAGAAGAATCATTACAATTCGATAAACATACAAAGTTTCCCTATTACTATTTTTTTTGTTTGTTTGCTTGTTTTTCTTTTGATGTAACACGAGATTTTCGTTTGTTTTCATCCGAAACGATGATTTTATATTTGAATGTAGAGAATTTTCTATTGAATGTTAATCTGATCTTTCGATATATGGGTGTGTTGTTGTTTTTCTTTCAGTGCTACAGGATACTTTAATTCGTTATTCTCTTTACTTCTCTTGTTCTATCATACAACAATCTTTATGGTATTTTCAATTGTTTGTTAGCAATATACAAATAAATAATGCTTGAATAATAATGGTTATATAGTGACATGTTTATTAGTTAGCTGTTATAATTGAATACTATTAGTACTACTACAGCACTACTGCTGTATTATCCTTTACAGTAATAATAATAATAATAATAATAATAATAATAATAATAATAATAATAATAATAATAATAATAATAATAATAATAGTTAGAACTGAGAATTTTTCCAGTATTCTTTTTCAGTTCATTGATAGAGTCTAATCTATATGCTTAAATATAAATTAGATTTACTATGAATGTTTATTATTGATCATTGTCACCGCCATTATCATATTCGCCGACCTCATCCTCAATATTATTATTATTTCGATAGGCTTTCTCTACTAAATTCTAAAGTACTGTTTACTGTATCTATGACCGTTTTCCGCCTCCTCCTCACCATTATTATTATTGTCGCCACCGTCATCATCATTGAATATTAATCTTAGTAACATGTGACAGTCATAATAATGATAGTGTTTATTATTGTGCTATTGAACAATGAATTGTTGATTATATTGTTATTTTTCCATTGCATTGTCTGTTCTTTCTGTTATTTAATTACTTTTTTTTTCCCCAAAAAATCAAATGTATGTTTCTTCGGTTTTTATTTCTACCTTAAAATAACCTCCTGTCTTGGTTTATGTGAATGTTGTGAGTGTGTGTGTTTATGTGAATTTATTTTCTTGCTTTTCTACAAGGACAAAGTGATCAGTTAGTTAAGTAAAACTAATGTATACATCCTCATATTATGATTATTATTGTTTCATTGAGGTGCATCTTCATCAGTTTATTGTATTCTTGAATAATGAATATAAAAATACCAGTGTATGTGTTTCCATGCTTTTACACACGCTCATTTGAGGATTCGTTTGTTTTCATGAGATCAGTTGAACAAGAATTTTAATCTTTTGATTTTACTCAATGTAAATGAACCCAAGTTGAACAACAGATAGAAATTAGGAAGCACGGAATAGCCGTTTAGTCCTGGTATGCGACTCCTTGAGAATGTACATGGGCAACCACACTAGGAATCAAATCTAGATTTTTCGGTCTCATAAATCAGCTTCTAACTCTATACAACTGATGTACATGTCTAACTTCAACCTATCCGGGATAGTTCGCAACCAACTTCCATTATCGTCTGGGGGATAACTGGTTAACATCTTACATAACTGAACTCCACTGGTGATGGTTTTCTGGTTTTGCAATGGATATAAAACTTGGGTTGGTTAATGATGTCAGGAATATTTAATAATCTTTATAAGCCTCTGTACTGACGATCAATAAATCATTTAAGGAAGAAAAAAGCAGGTGGGGGTGCGAATGTATAAAGATGAGTGTAAACAGAAGAAATTATAATTCGGACGTGTCATGAGTAAAGTAGTATTCATCAATCAGATTGATTGTTTGCTACCATATATATTAAACAGTGATTGACGTTGGAATTACACTACCAGATATCTCCCTAGTAATTTTATGAGTTAAATGCTTGCCACATGACCTGAATATCTTGGTTTAGACACCTGGTGGAATAATGGATGCACATTATACGATTGAAATTACATATACTACCTTAACTCCTGAATGACGATAATAGGAGGAAGTTCAGCGTCTCTACATTCTAATATGCTTTGCATTATGTTTAAACATTGGTAACAACTTCTAATTGACTCGTTATCAAGCTTAAAGTCATGCCTCGCTTAAATATAAGAAAAATTCTCAGTTATTATTTTGCATTGTATTCGTTCATTCAAATCCCAAAAGATTTGAAAATATAAAACACATTATTAACCATCTAATAATATCCCATACTTTGATATTCAAACACTGACGATTACAGATAGTTAATCTATGTGATGTTCAAATGTTGATTTCATTTATGATATGCATGTATCGTTATGTTACGTAGTTGAAAATAATTGGGAGGAAATTATGAACCTAGGTTTGAATGACATGAGTTTGAATCCTACAAGAGGGAATTAGTTCCCTCAAAATCAGAGGTACACCTTGTTGAAACATAAATCAGACAGAATTTCCTCTTAGACTACTTATGTCTTTCGGCATAAGTAGTATGTAATATCAATCAGAACTAGAATGCCTTTGTAGTAGAAGTCTAAGTAGATCGAGTTCAAAAAACGGGAACTAGAAATGAATTATGAATTGAAAGAATCACACAGAATGTGAAGGATAATTGATGGGAGATTTGCAAATAAAGTATTGAATGTATAGTTCTCATATTTTACGAAGATATTCTGTAATGTTAAAGTAAATAATAAATTGTATGTTCCTACCTAAGTCTTTATTCACAACAACAGTATTCGATCATCATTAAAGAAATAGGCTATTCCTTTGCCAGCTTGGTTTGATTCCTTTCTCGGCAATCGACATCAAATATTTAAAATTAACTCTTCATTGTCTAACGTTGTCCCTGTTAAAAGTGGTGTAATACAAGGTAGTGTCTTAGGCCCTTTGCTCTTTTTAGTGTTTATCAATGATATTTGTGAAAGTTTTTGTGTGGGTAAGCCCCTTCTATATGTAGATGATCTTAAGGTAGTATATTCATTTTCTCCACATGAGCTGAAAAATATTCGAAATCGCATCAACATGGAGCTTAACAAAGTAACACAGTGGTGCTTAAAATGGCAACTGGATCTTAATACGGCTAAATGTGAATGGACATGCTTCGGCGATACATCACTCAACTTAGATCTTACCATGAATGCTGAAGTGTTGTCTAGGTTACATACAGTAGTAGACTTAGGACTTTGATACTCCCAAAACTTTTCGTTTACAGAACAGATATTAAAACAGACCTCTAAGTCTCAACGTCTAATAGGTTACATAACTCAAAACCTTTACAACAATGAGTCACGTATTTTAATGTACCAAGTTTGTGCTCGACCTCTTCTAGAATATTGTACGTTTATTCTTAGCAGTGAGCGCATAAAGGATAAATTAAGGCTGGAATCAGTACAGAGACGATTTACACTTTCTATTCTTGGAGCTGATTGTACCTTAACTTATAATTCTAGATGTAATAAACTTGGGCTAGACACTTTATGGAAGAGGAGACTCAAACTAAATCTTATCTTTTTCTTCAAACTACTTCATAAACTATCGTTTACATCCAATCACGCGGTTCAATATGTAGAAACATCTCATTACGACATCCGTAATTCCTTATTACTAGTGAAATAAACTTATTCTGAATAATCTCTCTATATGAATTAATTTACCTGTAAATTTTCTAGACTCTGGAATAACCTACCACAATCTATCAGTACGATAAAACCACTCCCATTATTTGTTCGCTGCATCGATGCATACTGCTCCTCTGAAAATGCATTGAATGTTCTAGCACCTATAAGTGTATCTCATTCCACAAGTGATATTATAGGAACTTTAAATGTTTAGACATTTTTATTAGTGAACTCCCTAAGTAAAACCACCTACTTGCTGTCACTTTATGGTAACCCCAGTCCCTAGAAAGTTTAAATAATTTGAATAACATCAACAGTATATCACCGGGTCGCATGACACACGCATTTTGGTAGACCTGATTGATATATTTTGGTAATTACTGCTTTGTTGTTCCATGCTCTCTGTTTTCGTTTTAATTTCTCTAGTTGTAGATAATTATCATTAATTTGATCTGGCACACGAAATGACCTTAATTACTCCGTCGATAAATCAACGGGCTGTCCATTTAAGAAAAATTAAAAATTCCCGGCTGATGCATTGGATCGCTGTAATATATGTACTACCTAAACAATTACTGAACTAGTATACTTAAAATTTTCTTCTATCACATGTTTGTTCTGCACATCTAATGTTACTATTTATATCAAATTGATCATGCCTGTAAACTGGCGTGAATTCTGTAATTATTATTTTCAGAATATATAAATTATCATTATAACATTGATCACTACTTAATGATCCGTTAGTTACAAAATTTGTTTTGTTTTTTTCTGACTTATATATGATAATCTATCACTATGTGTCAAATTAATTCTCACTATCCTCTGACAGAACTAAAACATTTCAAACTGGATAATTTAGAGAAGAGAGAGGGCTTCAAGGGAAGCGCTGTTTTTTAAATGTCAAACAATATGTGGGATCGAATCCGCCAGGAAGCACCAGTTCCCTTAAGATTACAGGTACACTTTGCTGACGAGTGCCAAGTAGCACGAAACCCGGGTTCAGGGTTTCCTGTCGACTACCTCCAACCACCATCTAATGGGAAAATATTAAACAGAAATAGTTAAATGATTTATTACATGAAAATTTGAAACGAAATCAACGTTTTCATTATACATTTTCTCTATTGTACAAGAAAAAAAAGAGAGAAAAATAACTCGTTTACGTTTAAATATTGCACTATCATAATACTACTACTACATGGACTCACTAAAAGGTAAGAGAAAAAGGAAAACAGGATGAAAGAAACACACTGATAATGATTTTTATTTCTTTATTGTTTTCTTTGTTGCTGTTGTTGTTTTTCTTTGTCTTGAAAAAGAAAAGTAAATGTCACTTTGTTCTTTTCTACAACTAGATTTCAGTAATAAAGGTGATGTTTGGTAATCATCTTGGTATTGGAAAGGTTAAAATGACTTATAGCAATAATAATAATAATAATAATAATAATAATAATAATAATATTAGTGTTTAATCTAACTAAACCTGTGGGTTTCAATACATATGTGATTGATCTCAGGTAAAGCAGAATAAGATGGACAGGGTTGGTTGAATTATTGATAGTAAGTTAAACGAGTAAATCAGTGAGAACAAACAAACAGAAATTGTCAATAATAAGATCTGATTCAATGAAGGTAAGCCAAAACTAATATTGAATGAGTTGAGTTGAAATAAACAAAAGAAGAAAAAAAAGTATCATTTGTTTCACCATTTTTTTTCTTTTCTTTTCTCTTATGATTGTTCTTTTAAAAATTAAAAAATAAAATATTGATTATTTATTTTCTATCAGTTCCAGCCATAATACTTTCTGATTCATAAAGACTATCATGTTTAGCCATAATACGCATTAATGGACGTAAACTAATCCACCATTCTTCTTTTGGTAAACGATGTCTATAAAGTAAAAAAAATAGAAATGGAGAATTTCATGAGCGATTTATTAATATTAGTTGAAGAGAGAATCACTAGAAATAATGACATACAAGTGTGATCGATAAACGAACTCAGTAATGACAACATTAAGTGTTCATCATCACATTAACTCTCTTTCACGTTGGATGGCTATGTCTTGTTTTATTCAGCAATCATAATTTTTCTGTTTATCATAAATAATATTAGGTTTTTTACAGTTGATTTCACGAGTCGATCTATGCTAGACTATCACTGAAAACTTGGAAGCATTAAATCGTGGATGTGTACTGCTGAAATGGCCGTTCAGTGCTTCCAGGTTTTCAATGATGGTCTAGATTTGATTGAATTGTGAAACCAAGTATGAAAATACTATAATCTCCACAAATCCCTAGACTGATATTAAGTTTTTTGTCTCATTTTTCCTATTCTCTGGTTACTGTTCAGTATGTTTTTAGTGTCTGTTTAATGAGTTGAATAGATTGTTTTCTGCATAATAACAGTATTAGTTTACGTTTTAGAAAGAGATAAAGTTTATCAAGCTAAATAGCTTACTTGTCCTGATTTTAGCTAAGCTAAGACTGTGCTCACCAGTCGGGGAAATAGTTTAGAATTGCGTTTGTAGAAAAATACTTTCTACAATCTCTATGTCTTATTTTAATATATCGTTCATGTATTTAATATTTAATTTCCTAATGTAACAATGAGACATCACGTTACTGAAATAAGGAATGTAAGTGAGAATACATTCAATTCATGCATTCAATTATAAACAAACAATCATGTAAGCGAAGAACGGGTTGATGTAGCGTAAAGTTGGTAAATTAAATAACTCATTTTAATTAAGAAGATTCATTGTATATATAAAAGTAGACTGCGTATAGAATACAGCGAGTCAATACAGAACCAATTAGATCACAGATGGAAATAGACATACGTACATACACAAGAATATAGGAAGAACGTTCAGAGATAATAATGTGGACTAAATATGAGTGTTTAGAATAACTGTTCACAAGCTTGAACAGTCTGTTTCGCTGGCGTTTATTGCACTGTTAACAGCAGAGTGAATTCATAACTCATCACCATTATGCATATCTTTGAGTCAAAATCCAGAGGTCTTAAAACAAAATAAGAGGCTGTGTTTAATAATTCCCAGTGGTTTCAGTGATTCCACACTGATGATATCGATCAGTAGTTTATGATGATTTGATTATACAATAAAAAGAGAGATAAATTTCTTTGAGGTTTGTATCTTTAATGAAATATATCTATAAGGATGATTCTCTTTAAACTCTTCACTTACTGAATACTATTTACTTAGTATTACAATTAATTATAAAACATTAACCGCTTTTAATTTATGTTACATCATAATGATAATGAGGTTATTTAAAAGGAAATCAATACCTTTCTCTTAATCAGAAGGGGGATTTTGTGGAGATTTTAGTACTTTAATAGTTGAATTGATGAGTCAATTAAGGTTTGACCATCATGGAAAACCTGGTAGCACTAAACGGCCATTTTGTCCTATTGAGGAGTCATATACTAGGACGAAACAGCCGCGTATTGCTTACAAGTTTTTCATGATGATCTAGCTTTAAATGATTCATGAATTCAACCATTAAATTAACTTTTTCTTTATCATATATGTTTTCCTGTACCTTAAATTGAACTAGTTCATTATCATTATCATCTTAGCATAATTAAATCTTTTAAAATAAATTTAAAAAAAATTTACACGAAATCTGTATGTTCTCTCAATTCCATAATGTTTGAATAGGTTGTCTGACGACGTACAATACCAATAAGTGTACAGCATAAATGTCCTGGTGTATAGACTGTAGCTGTAATTGAAAATAAAAAAAATAAGCAAAAATATAAGTCAAGATAATTGCATATATTACGGGGGTCTAATAAAAGGTTAGTATTAAATATAAGATATTTTCAACTATCGGTTTCTGGCATTTCGGTGACACATACATAATCGTGTTGCTTAAGTAACCACAATCAAAAATCAACTGTCTCGGATGTGAGACAGTTATCCTCAGCAGGTAATAGGAGATGACGTCACATAATCAAGAGTGCACAGTATTAACTATCAGCTTAACAGTCTTGAGGTTAGCTGCGACATCGGAGATCCTAGGTTAGATCCTTAGAGTGGTGGGAAAACAGCTGTTGAATACTTCCTGGTTGTCTAACTGAGGTAAGTCAGTAGTGCAAACCATGAAACAATGATATTATGAGATGGTATCGTTATATTTTGGGTCTGAACATTATTGGCCTGCACCTGACTTGATTATTATTTTATTTTACAGATTTATTATCAAGTACGGATTCGTGTACCTAGCTCTAAGAAACATTACAAGTATGGGGGCTAGTGATACTAGTTAGTTGTTATGGTATAGAACTACCAAAGCTGTACCTAGTTTATCTCAACAACTGAAAGTGAATATTACCTAAATATATTTTAAATAACTCAGTCACTCTCGTGTCCGAGGTAATTTAAATTATAGGTAACTTCCAGGAACCATTTATGGATTGTTATTATGCATATTCTTATTATATAACTATTATTAAGTAACTATATTATACGCAAATTCACATTCTGTTTTATTGTAAGCTTCCATTTAGCTTATAAACTACTATTATACGGTTTACTATTCTTAATCTATTCTCAATTTATTAGTAACAGTCTTTCACAGTCACAGACACTTTTGGCCTGATCTTGTATAATTATTTTCTATTTTGTGGTATGATGCGGTCTGGTTTGCTTGTATGTAAACTACGTATGTTTACAACACATGATTCATTCAGTGGAAGCTGAAATTGTGTTCTGGAATGAGTCGTCTGGGTTAGGCGAGAAGTTACTATCTCAGAGGACCAATAAAACTCCAGGGTTAACTCTAGACTGCTCGTATTGGTTTATGCGTCATTGGTTTGGCACAATGCGAAGGTCACGAGAATCGGTGTTCTAGTGGTGCTTTAGTCACGTGATAAATTAACAAGTCCATAGGACATAAAAGTCACGATAAATAAAATAATTGTTTGTGAAATCACGTCAAGTTTGATTAGCTATTTTTCAAGCTTGTAAACATTTATCATCTAAATCAACTTTAAAGAAATTCTGTGGAACTAACCTGACTAAACTCTTATTCAAATGTTCAGCCTTATTAGCCATGGCGAATCATTTATAATAACAATAAAGTCTTGTTAAATCTCAAGGTTAATATTTAAGGCAAATGAAAAGGCTGGGAATAGACTCCACGTTGTCAAGTCATATCTGAGTGTAACGTCATCAGTGATTACGGTTTTGCTTTCGTTTATTTAGAATATTAAAGATTCCCATTGTGAAAATTAGAACAACACATATAAGCGAACAATTGTCTTCAATTCGATCGTCATCAGGCTTTACTCTAATATACATGAATACGAACATCTACCAACTTGGTACATAAAAGGCCAGAGAAAAACTATTCGCAGTTCTATATTGGCACATCTTATTGATAGCGGTCATGCAATAGATTAATCGCAATCATTTCAAGTTATCTATTGTATACCTCCATCATTTCCCGACGGAGTCCGTTCCCGTCTCCTATATATAGCTGAAGCCATTGGAATTCGTACATATAACCCCAATTTATGTGTACAGAAGAAATACGTGACACCCCTCTATCCCTTCCATGGCCGGTTATAACTTAACTAACAATTTTTTATTTATTTTTAAATTTTATAATTATCATTATTTATTTTATTCTATTTCTGTTATCGCTAACCTTATTTCCACATCCATTATTTGTTTGTCATTATCCGCCTCTTTGTATTCTTCACTATCTAATTATTTACACACATCTTATTACGTAATGATTTTAATGTTTTGTGATTACTATTCCTAGTCTATTTACCCACGTTTGTTTGACCTTCTAATCCCAACGTTTAACTATGGATATGAGTTTTGTTATTGTATTTTATTATTCTTACTATTATCAGTTCACCAGTCTTCCTACTATCAACTTGTGTAGTGACTTATTCTATTTCATTGTGATTATTGACCCATATTGCCTTGATTGGTTTAAACTTTTCGTATAAATATTCATGTATATTAGAGTAAAGCCTGATGACGATCTAATTGAAAACAATATTGTTCGCTTATATGCGTTGTTCGTTTATTTAGTCACTTAGTTGTAGACATTTTGCAATAATGTCTATTATAGAATTAATTGGAGGTATTTCTTTAGCTATGTCGTAAGTTTTCCTCGATCATGACTGACTAGCCTACACTTGACACGTTCGTAGCATGGTGGAGTGATATTTTCATTGTAGAAAACTTTACATTTTTTCATGTAAGCCAGCGAAAAAGACAGAAAGCGAAACACGTCCTTCATAATGGGTTACGATGGTTTAAATAATAATTCCCACTTCATTTTGGTTGGTTGACAGGTACAAGGTCAAAGTTGCAAACGAGAATGGAGTTTATCCTTACCCAATGAAGATCAATTAATTTTTTTAGATATCAATACAAATAAGACGTATAGCCAAATGTAGAAGATAAAATCGTATATTTACAGAAATCTCAGCGACTGAAAATAAGAGCAACTTGAAAGTTCCATTCAACAGTCTGATTCAAGCTTGTTCAGGCGAAATAGTCAAAAATTAAGATTACTCACAACCATAGAGTTAAGTTGTATATTTTTGGTGAATAATTTTTGCATATGATCTCCATATATATGTACAACCTTTTGATTGTTCTGTTAATACCATTTTAAATAGATTTTACATCAATGACTCTTATTCACAATTGCATTCGAACAAATCCCAAATTCTACATTTTTCAAATTATTAGGCTATATAGGTTTTCAATGGTGGTCTAACATTGGTCGATTCATGATCTAAATGAAACATACTTGTATTGGTTGTTTGGATCTTGGCATTAATCCTGAGAACTATAACTGACCAGTCTCTTTGAGTCCATTGTCCATCCTGTCAAGAAAACCTTAATATTCACATTAAGTCACAATCATTATAAACAGAGATGAATGGTGGGTAGCAGTGAATACCAGAATGGGCATTTCGTCCTATTTTGGGTTTCTCAGTTGGATTTACCTGTATCCCAGAGTTAATATTCACTCTGGGACAATAGTTTAACACATAATTAATTTGTAAACAGAAGGTTGATAAAAAAATCGATTTTGAAATTGAGCAACTGGATAACCTACGAATTCAGCCGCATGAAAAATATAAAATGTGAATGGCAGGAGGTATTAAAATTACATGTGTAATCATGTGAATGTAAAAAGGTAAACAAACAATATGTAACTTACAATCTGAACGTATATTAGCATTGATTTGTTCATCTAACCAGTCAATTGCTTTCGAAGCAAATTTTGTACCTAAACTTCTATCAAATGGACTCGGTCTATCACCTTGCTGCATATGACCCAATACATTACAACTGGATATATGAAAAGTTTTAAAAATGAAAGTTTTGGTTATACTTACTTGAATACATTTGAAATAAACTTTCAAAATAGTCAACTATAGCTCGAACTACTTAATAGTAACTAAGAGTAGTATAGAGCTATACAGCTAAAAAATATGAAGTAATAAATAGAAATAATTAGCAGATTTAACATTAGTTACTTTATCAAACGGTTATTATTCTTGGGAAAATATCGTGGATTAACTGAGGTTGGATATTCACGCCGTTAGATGTTGACTCAATAGTGTAGACTTCAAGCGTTCCCACGCAAGGTTGAAGCTTTTATGTTCGACTGCCAGGTTCAGAGTGGTGTATGCTCACTGCTGAGTCTTATACTGGGACAAAACGGCCGTCCATTATTTCTAGATTTTCCATGGTGGTCAAGCTAAGATCGATTCGTGGATAGAGCTACAAAACTTGTGCAATTTCTACAAATATCTCTATGCTAATAAAATCATCACATTTATTTAAAGTATCGTACTTTAAGCTGAAATAAAAATTTCCTTTCATTATTTCCGAATAATTTTTTTCTCTCAAGTGATAAGACCTTGACAACTAATTGTTTTAACTTCCCAATGTAAGAAAACAGAAAATGGATCTAGACAAATGAGTTTTTACTATTCTCAAGAGAAATTAAATTGTTAAAACTAATCTGTTTAGGTAGCAACGACAAAATGATATATTAAAATAGAGTCTAACCAATCAGGGAACAGTTAAATTTGGAGCAGTTGTTATGCAGTTTAAATTATCGTTGACTTGGTTACGCGGCAAATTATCAATAAAACGGTAAACAATTATTACTTGTAAGACATTTTCCTTCTTCATAGTTATTTCAAGAGAAAGAAAAATCTCTACCAGTCAATTTTTCCGTCTTCCGATAGCAGTTCAGTTATCGTGAGTAATCTATACTTAGTTTGACTTCAGATTAAGTCAGTCGATTGATTAGTTAACAATAGATACACAAATTATTCCCCTGTGTTTACATAACTGAGGATGAAATACACGTTATGCCAGAATTGTAACACAGATATATAACATCTAATCGATGATCAAATCCTATCGAATAGGCAAAGTTAATCGATAGAGTATTGTGTAGATTGTTTATATCATGAACTGATTTAAGGTAGACAACCAATGAATTGATTAAGGCTAGGAATGCAAACTATTTGATATTGATTCACTAATTTGAAGATTAAGCTATTACCACAAAACCTAAAGCTCTTAGGCTCATTTCCAGGTGGAAAGCAACATACTGGGATGTAACAGTTGTACAATGCTTCCTAGTTTTCAATGATTATTTAACTAAGATCATTTCATGATGATCATTATGAAAATTATATCGACTTAGATTTCAATAATAATAATAATAATAATAATAATAATAATAATAATAATAATAAATCACTTACCGGCAATCAAATATACCTTGACCTTCTTGAGCATATAATTGATGAATAAATTCACTTGTATAATATTTATTAGCATATTCAGCTCGTAGTATTAAACCACGTTTAACATTATCATCAATTTTTGCACGTAGATGTACTACATCTTCACGTAAATCATCAATTGTAAATGGTTCTTCAAATATATAAGCAGCATCTGCTCCACCAGCTAATGCACTCATTGTAGCTAAATAACCACAATAACCACCCATTGTTTCAACAACAAATACACGACGTTTTGTACCCAGTGCACTTTGTTTAATTTTATCTAATACCTTGAAAAATTAATGTTCAAATAGAGATTACCAATGATAACAATGATAACAGGAAGAAGAGAGAATGAAGCGAGTAACCAATAGTTAGTGATAATGATTAGTTAACTAACAGATTTCTTAAAGTTATATTTGTCACAGATTCGTCTTAGTTGAAGTGCCGATAATAATTCGGATGAAAAGGATAGTTGTTTCGTCCTAGTATAGGGCCTCTTAGCAGAACGTACTCATCACTTCATGGCAGGTCAGAATCAGGATCTCCAGATCCCATAACGTACACTGATACCAATATAATCTATAAACTGAACCAATCTTCATAAAATTCATTCAACCAAACTGAAATAGTCAGCTCATTTGTGAGTTATTTCAAGATGTTCCTGGATTTCTAGAGTGAAGCTGTAATTGTCAAACTTCAAGAATATTGGGAGTAAATTGGCTTTTGCTAATCGTATAAAATGGCTGTCATGCTATATATTGCAAGGCGATTGAAGTCAGAGTTGCACCAGTAGATATTGACCCAGAGATTACAATGACCAAGTGTTCTCTGAGAGAAATAAAGATCCTAGATTATATCACTAGTGGAGTCATAAATTCGAATGTGACCAACATTCTACCCCTCCCAAAAAAACATCGCGAATCGGTTCGACTTATAAATGTAAACCACTAGATACTAACTTAGGGGTTTGAAGAGTGGACATCCCCTGAGAGCCCTTGAATTCAAACTCTATGGTGAGATTACAGATGTGTTACTAAGAAAACTCAATATTAGGACGAAACAGCTGTTCAGTGCGTCTTGACTTCCAATAGCTGTCGAACAAAATTCAATCTGTGGTGTAAAACTAAAAATATTATTTACACATTACTTTATATTGTTAAAAGACTTAGAATTCCCTCAACAAAATATGAACAAAAGCGTCCATAATATGGTCAACCCACACTTCATTGTTCATTGAAAGGATGATTCCATCTATCATTTAACGATTTCCATTATACAATATAATTAAATGTATATTTTAATTAATGGATAAGTTTTGTAATGTTTTCAATATTTAAAAATCAACATTAGTTCATCCGGAAAAACATGATCGATAGCATTCGATCTGTACTAATAAGGACTAGACAAGCATGAGATTGATCACCACCCAATGATCAATCAATTGTGATTACATCTCAGTCCTACAGGAGGTTAGTCACGACTCGGATAGCTCAGTGGTAACGTCTCTGACTGTGAAGCTGGGTGACACGAGGTCGAATCCGCCAGGGGGCATCAGTTCCCTCAAGATTACAGGTACACCTTGCTGACGAGTGCCAAGTAGCACGAAACCCGGGTCCAGGGTTTCCTGTCGACTACCTCCAACTACCATCTAAATCTCAATACATAGTGCCCGCAGTGTCGAGTCACCTAGACTGGTGACCACATTGCAACATGATCGATAACATTCGATCTGCACTAATAAGGACTAGACAAGCATGACATTGATCACCACCCAGTGATCAATCAATTGTGGAACTACTACTCTCTAGTTTTTTAATTCTCTTTCGATTTCTTCAAGCTAATAGCGATATTAAAATGCTAATCAGAAACAAAATATAAAACTTGGAAATATACACATAACTTACAGAGGTTATTTCATTTAAAGCTGTATCACAACCCAAGGAGAAATCAGTACCAGGAACATTATTAGAAATTGTCGCTGGTACCATAGCCATAGGTATACATAATTCAGGATACTTTTCACGTCCTTCGACCAGTTCTATCAAACAATCGTATGCTTCAAAGCCACCAATAATAAGTAAACCGCTTAATTTGAATTCTTTAAATCTCGCGGCTACTTTCTCTATACCTAAACTATTTGGTGTGTCTCTAGGTAATTGAAATAAATGAAATATAAAAATGAAAGCAAACTTAATTAGCATGTACGAAGAAAACCATGAAATACAAGACAAGAATACAGTTACGGAAGGCTAAATTAACTTTATAACTTAAGCCATACATTGATTGGATTTCAATCTATTTGACTTCTAACAGTTCTGAAAGCAAGGTTGGTTCAAATGTTAAATTTTTTCCCGCACGAAACTGATGTACTTTGATGAACGGTGTATTTAGAACACAATTTTAAAAAATAACTCAAACTCTATCATTATGAATCGAATATTTCTAATAATTCTTCCCTAATAATCAAAATACAAGTGTACCAGCAGTCTGTAAAATCATACTAACGATGAAAGAGTAAGTACTAATCTTGAAAGTGAAATTTTAAGTGATTCGCCGACAACAATAATGCTGGTCTACGATGTTTTAACCGCGTTATCCTAATGGATGATCAGTATTCATAAAGTTCAGTAGGTAAAAAAATGAGAAATCTCCCTGTGTTAAAAAGATTGCAATGTTTTTATTTTAGGCTTCAATATTTTTAAACGTTTTACAGTTGAAATATTTAGGTGTTGGATGATAAGGTGATATAAATTACTTAAATACATGAAAGTTATTACTCATCATTTCAAATGGTGCTGCGCTATTAGGAACTGCCATTTATTAGATATTACTGGCAAAATATCAGGTTCAAAACTTGTTGTTATAGCTATAATACTTCATTTAGTATGTACAGAATTCAATGAGAGAGGTAAAATATGCTACATTTGACTGGCGACTAATAAAGACAAGGTCGGTCCGATCACAAAAATGAAGATACCATTTGCGGCTACTTATAAATTAACAGTAGTTTAAATTCTTCGACAAAAGTCTAGTTTCAAATGACTGCAAGGCACAGATCACTTACCTGCGTGTTCCTAATATGGAACCACCTATTCCCACCCATCCACGTACATCAGACCACTGTATTTCACTAGCATCGCCTTTAACAAGACCGGAGAATCCTTCGTGTATTCCGATAATCTTATAACCCTTAGTGATACCCAGACGAGTAAATCCTCTTATTACTGCATTAATACCGCAAGCTGGAGCACCGACATTCACGATACCGATTCTCAAGTTGTTCTGAAATGTGAGAAAACAAACAATTGATTCAAAGACTTGAAAACGTCGTGAGTGTGTTGCGCCTTTATTTTACAAACCATCAATAACTATGTTGTCAATGAAGTGATCGATAATAGATGTTGCTTCTATAAGCTGAAGAAATCATGAATTTGACCCATTCGACAACAATATTATTACAGTATAATATGTATATGTATATGTGAAAAGTATAGAAATAAGAACATGATGCGATATACATATAGATAGGAGAATATATATATCGTAAAAAAGATCATTAGTTAACATTGACCAGTTATCCTACAAAACAAGCTGCATACCAATCTTCAAAATAAAAACGCGCATTAACATGGATTCAGTACATAATTTTGGCGGATAGCAATAAATAAAATAAAATTTTGAAAAGTTTTAAAGTATTACTGAAGGTGGTTTTGATCAGGGTAAAAAAAATCATGATAAAAGTATTCAACTAAAAAGCGACACGTAAAAATGAATACAAAAGTAAATGCAACAGAAAACGAACATAGGATAAAATGACAGTGGTTAAAGTCGTTACAAAATAACTATATTGGTATTGTATATCACTTTGTGAGTTCTAGTATTTCTACAATATAGCCCAAATATCCACAGATTATTAGCCGGTGAAGGGAAAAATAACTATTCATCTTCTATTATATAAGTCAGTCAGTTATTTACTCACTCATCAGCAAAGTAGAATATGGCACCTGTATAAATCAGTCAAAACTGTTACACATGTGAGTGGTAAAGGGTGAGGAAATTTGTTAAACATCAGGAAAAGATTACGATCACATTCACGAAGTATGTAATCTAAGCTTTGAAAAGCAATAATTGTCAATCCTACCTAAGAATGTAGGTTACTGCTTATCATATTACCTGGATTAATATGTTGAGTTGCTTTCTAGTAGAATAATGTATAGAAAAAATTATCTAAAGAATCACATGGTAAAATGGTTCTCAATCGGAAAGTCACAAGAGCAGTAACCTCTTTAAGACATTATAAATCGATATTCTAAATCACTAGACTAGGAAAATTTACGAAATGTTTATATAATCCTAGGACCATAACACACAACTTCAATTAATGTTATTATTTCAAGTTATGATTATTACATTAATTGATTGCTGAGTAGTAACTAATGTCATGTCTGTCAATCAGTGGTTACTAGTCTACGGGACTCAACATTACATGTAGCATGTTGAGATATTAGATATTTGAAGATAGTCAGTCGGCAGTAAACCCCGCATGACATAGGTTTTGTGTTCATTGGCACACATCAGCAACGTATATCTAAAATCTTGAGAACGGTTGATCCCTGTAGGAATTAAACCAACATCACCCAGTCTCACAATCTGAGACTCAGACAATGAGCTTTTCAGGCTGCACCTGACCTCCTAAAGAACTCGTACATTTATAATCAATCGAATGATCATAGGGGAACAATCAATGTCACGCTGGTCCAACTATTTGTTACCAATCGAACGGCACATCTCAGATGGTAACGTCTCATTTTATAAAGCTAAGTGATACAGATTTCTATTTAACTGACAGCATCGATCATTTCAAGCCCTATTTCCGAGTGCCAAATTGTACGAAACCTAGATCCAGGATATCTTAACGACTACAAATGGCTTACAATGTTCCACTGGATTGTCAATTTAGTTACTCATTCCTTTGATTGCTGAATCAGACAAATATAACTGAAAGCATAAAATTATGGTTTAATGATAGTTTACTAACTAACTATCTATTTATCTGTATATATAAAGGTCATCAAAATAACTACTCAATCCAAATTCAAACATTTTAACTTTGCTTCAATTGATTATGACACTGATATTGATGATGTTAAAGACAAATCTATGGATGAAGCATGTAAAGTTCATAGTATGTCATGTAATCGTCCAAAAAAGCACGATTATTCGGTTACTTGACTTCATGATTTTTACGTAAACAAACGATTATTTATATAGACAAAAACATGACATAACACTTAATAAGTTGAACAATTATTAATACTAAGTAAACAATATACAAGGATAACTGAATTATTTTCAGTCTCATTAAAGTACTAATACCTATACATTTAATAGTTGAATTCATGAGTCAATTGAAGCTAGACCACCATGAAAACCCTAGGAGCATTTGGACGGTCATTTCGTCCTAGTATGGGACTCATCGTGCGCGAGACTGATAGGTCCTGGGTTCGGATCTTGCGAGGTAGGTGTGTGGCATCACTACTGAGGAGCTATATACTAGGCCGGAACGGCCGTTCAGTGCTTCCAGGTTTTTTCATGGTACGTTAGCTTCAATCGACCCATGATCTAAACTATTAAAATTACTAAAATATTCACTAAACCTCTTTATTTATTATTTTTATTTAATTCACTGAAATCTCTTTCGTAACATGTCATATACGATATCAGTACAATAATTGATAGGTGATTGTGAAAGAAACGTTTTCATGGTTTTGCAAGCACTCACACTCGTACACATATATGTATCACAAATCTAGGTCAATTCTTTTCAATCTTTACCTATTTTATTACAGAAAAGCATATGATTTTATCTTAATGTGTACTAAGGAGTAATACCATAGTGATTTGTGAATGAGTGCATTCATTTCTGCTACATTGATTTGAAGCTTCTGGTACTAACTTTCTTCACTCCTGTAAATTTGAAGTCCATATTCACAGGAGGTTATTTGTATAAATTTTTATCAAACTTCAATTAAGTGAAAACAAAATCTGTAATGTGTGGCTTAATGATTAACCAATCAACTAATAGGACCGCAGATTCTAACCTGATTTACACTGTCGGGTAGTACTATTAGCTATTAAAGAGAGGTATATATATAGGTGAATTAAACTAAATACTTCATTTAAAAATGAACATAAATGTACGCTTAATTATAAAAGAACAATTTTGAATTTCCATTTTACTAATCGTAGAATCTAACAGATCTGTTATACTTGTTAATATAGGATGCTGGTTGTACAGATTTTGTGAAACAGTCTTCTGTAATATTTTAATTATATGTCTTTGAATAGTTAGATCCATCTGAAAAGATTTAAATATAATAATGTGATGTGCACTACCAGTAACTATTCATATTTACTCAAAACAAAAATGGACAAGACCTTTGTACAAATGATTGATTTATTCGAAATAGGCTCATTAATATATTACTGACATAAAACAATGTGAGAGCTGAGTTAACTGATCAATTAATGAATAGTCACTGAACAAGTAGCCAATATACGTATTAATCAATGACATGACAGAGTTCGAAATCGGCATTACCATTAAGCATATATATGTCTAGTGAGGTGATAAATTTTTAGTGGTATCAATAAATTATCATGAATTTCTTCTCTAATCACTAAAAATACTTTTATAACTAGGCTTGATAGGTTGTGGTAATCAAACATATCAGATCAAGACCATATGATTAGTGAGAGATTTGACAGTTGTAGATTATCGGCAGACGTTTGACTGAAATATCTGAGGGATAGATATCTATGTTTATGGCTCGCCATTTAGACTCCGTGACTTAGTAGATAAAGCTTTAATGTTTAGGTGCCAACCTCCAAATGTGAACAATAACCCTGGATTTCAATTATATTCAACTGAGAATGTTCAAATATAAGTTTTACAGTAAGCTACAATCCACGTTTATTTACAAACACTGATTCAACTCTAGAATTTCTAAAATCAAATAACTCCACTAAGAAGAAAACATATTACATAATCAATTGTGTTTGCTTAAAGTGAATAAAACTAGTTACCGAAAAAAAAACTTTATCTTTGATTATTGTTTCCAAATCAAAACCAGGAATGGAATTTAACCAATAGAATTACACAATTCACTTTTCAGTCAAGTGGTTAAATCATATTTTATTCCGCGTGACCTTGAGGCGTAGGAACACAAAATGATTGAACTTTTAGGAAAATTACAACACTTCATCGATCGATCAATGAACAATATCATTCGACAAAATTCTAAATGTATTTACTGTATTTTATGATTAAGATTATTTTGGGAGAATTTATACTTGAAACAAATGGGATAATAAACAACCAAAAAAGGCGATTTTTATCGTACATATTAATATAAGAAATATTCTAGAACACGGCTCTTATCAAACTGTAGAACTTTCTAGACATCTAAATAACTAGACAGTCAAGTGAAGATAGTTGAAGTTTGATAGATGGAAAAATAAATCTAGTGTATCATTGGTGGCTTGGTTGAATATCTGGGTTATCTGTTCCTTCCAACTAAATATTTCAATAAGTTATCTGTTCTTCTGTTTGTTTTAACACATCATTATGTCCATTGATTGCACACCATATTTCAGGAGCGTTCATGAACAGTTTACGACATCTCACTGTACAATTGACAAAAACGTAGAATCAGAGACATCATGATGGCTGGTTATATTCATCGAAAACAATATACATTATTCAGATGTCGATTCCTGAACTGCTAACATCAAACTGGTAATCACACAATATTTGTCGTCAGAATCGATCACGAAATATTTTGTGCTGACAATTCTCATTCTGTACCAAAATTATATAATATGAATAGCCCCCAAATGCCTTGGTAAGGCCGAGAGTGGGGAGAGTCCGCTCTCCCTTCCGAAATGCTCTCACATGGCCACGCGTATATAGCCTCTATCAGGGAAGACCTACTCACTGCCTTCTCGTGGCGGGAGTGTTGTTTACGAAATGGAGAGGACGGAAAGCGAATGTCTGGAGCTTTAACCTGGATGGTGGATACGGAGAGTCCACCTAGGGGAGTTGTAAAACCCTGTTTCCAAACCAATAGTGCACATGGGCTCCAGTATCCTGAAGGAACAAATGGCGTATGAACCAGTCGTCGGTCACCGGCTACCATGGGACTGCATCTCCTTACGTTGCTCCCCTGCCTTGTGGATCAGACCATCATAACGAAGGCTCCGGGTGTGACCCCCTAAGGAAA